ATATATATATATATATATGTCATTGTAAAATGAATAATGTGATACAGGTTAGTATTTTTAATCTTTGACTTTTACCTCCACTTGTTTGAACATTTTATTTGGAATTTCTTTATATAATGAGTAGATTTAATTTATTCCATTTTTTTAAACCAAATCTTGCTATTTAGGAATCCAGAGATGCATACTATTATCTTAAAAGTACCTCTACTAACAACTATTAACTCTTCATTGGCATTTATTAGGTCATCGCTTATGTAATAATTTTTGTTCAACTTGATTTCAAAGAGAAGATTCATGCAGATTGACATATAACTTTTGTAACTTCATTATTCTTTGCGCAAGGCGGTGTGGTGTCTTGATGGGCATGGAAGTCTATCCTGTGTTCTTGCTGATTTTGCTCCACAATTATTTCCTCTTTAAGTGTAGGATCTTAGTCACACACATCTGAGGCTCCAATGTGAGGACTTTGAGCTTAGCTATGTGGGGAAAAGTTCCTGTTCTTGAAGCTTATTTACATCCCCCACGTATGACTAATCTAGAACCAGTCAATGTGTGAAGTAACACTTAATTTCAAAGGCAAAATGTTGCTAAATCAGATATTTATTTCTGAATTCTATTTTTCCAATTACATTTATGGGTGAAACTCAAAAAATTAGAATATCGTGCAAAAGTTCAGTTTTTTTTTATTTCAGTAATGCAACTTAAAAGGTGAAACTAATATATGAGATAGACTCATTACACGCAAAGCAAGTTAGTTCAAGCCGTGGTGTGTCCTAATTGCGATGATTATGGCTTACAGCTCATGAAAACCCCAAATTCACAATCTCAGAAAATTAGAATATTACATCAATAAAACAAGGATTGTCCATAAAACAATACTGGACCTCTGAAAAGTACAAGCATGCATATGTACTCAGTACTTGGTTTGGGCCCCTCTTGCAGCAATGACTGTCTCAATGCGGAGTGGCATGGAAGCTATCAGCCTGTGGCACTGCTGAGGTGTTATGGAAGACCAGGATGCTTCAATAGCTTCAACTCTTCTGCATTGTTCGGTCTCATGTCTCTCATCTTTCTCTTGGCAATGCCCCATAGATTCTCTATGGGGTTCAAGTCAGGTAAGTTTGCTGGCCAATCAAGCACAGTAATCCCACGGTATTGAACCAAGGTACCAAGTCTTGCTGGAAAACGAAGTCAGCATTCCCATAAAGCTCGTCTGTGGAAGGAAGCATGAAGTGCTCCAAAATCTCCTGGTAGATGGCTGCGTTGACCCTGGACTTAATGAAGCACAGTGGACCAACACCAGCAGATGACATGACTCCCCAAATCAATACAGACTGTGGAAACTTCACACTGGACTTCAAGCATCTTGCAGTGTGTGCCTCTCCATTCTTCCTCCAGACTCTGGGTCCTTGTTTTCCAAATGAGATGCAAAAGTTGCTCTCGTCAGAAAAGAGGACTTTGGACCACTGAGCAACAGACCAGTTCTGTTTTTCTTTAGCTCAGGTAAGATGCTTCTGACATTTGTTGTTCAGGAGCGGCTTGAAAAGGGAAATACGACATTTGAAGTCCATGTCCAGGATCCATCTGTGTGTGGTGGCTCTTGATTCACTGACTCCAGCCTCAGTCCACTCCTTATGAAAGTCCCCAACACTTTCGAATGGCCTTTTCCTGACAATCTTCTCCAGGCTGCGGTCATCCCTGGTGCTTATGCACCTTTTTCTTCCACACTTTTCCCTTCCACATACTTTCTATTAATGTGCTTTGATACAGCGCTTTGGGAACATCCAACTTCGTTTGTAATTACCTTCTGAGGCTTTCCCTCCTTATGGAGAGTGTCAATGATGGTTTTCTGCACAACTGTCAGGTCAGCAGTCTTTCCCATGATTGTGATTCCTACTGAACCAGATTGAGACCATTTAAAGGCTCAGGAACCCTTTGCAAGTGTTATGGCTTAATTAGCTGATTTGAGTGGGACACTTTGACCCCAGAATATTGAACCTTTTCACAATATTCTAATATTTTGAGATTGTGGATTTGGGGTTTTCATGAGCTGTAAGCCATAATGATCTTAATTATGACACATCACAGCTTGACCTATCTTGCTTTGCATGTAATGAGTCTATCTCATATATTAATTTCACCTTTTAAGTTGCATTACTGAAATAAATGAACTTTTGCACGATATTCTAATTTTTCGAGTTTCACCTGTATATGGTAGGATTATATATCTTATAGGGCTTTGTTGTTGTTCCATAACTAATGAATACTCTTGTTTCTTGAAAGATCTACAATGGATTCAAGTTTCAAACTCAAAAGAAGCTTATAAACTCATGAAAGTAGGCTTGAGACATCAGAGCTATGGTTCCACAAAACTGAATGCCAACTCAAGTAGAAGGTAAAACAGGAAATGCTTGGTATGGAACTGATAGATGTCTGCTTTCTATTTAATTTGGAAATCTTTTCCAATCCAGACTTAATGTTCCCAAATGCTTCTTGTTCATAATATGTTTCTTGATCTACCAACTCCAATATTCTCATTGTATATGTTTCTTTCCATGAACAACCACAAGATGGAGCTTACAAGCTGTCATTTTCATTTCTGATCAACTTGTGTTTGCCTTACTAATAGCTGACTGGTTCAGACAATCTTTAAACCCACCATTTAAAGAAATTATAGCTAAGACATATTAAGTTGTTATTGAGCTTATAAACCACTCCAATCACAATTAACTCTTAGCAGCCTACAAGTCTTTCTCCCTGGCTCAGATTAAAACACAGCAAACTATAATGAAAACAAAACTATAAAAGCACAATAGTTGTTTGGGAACAGCTGTGGTCCACCCTTACCCGACCCTCATTTCATGTATGTATCACTGGTATTTCAGTTAGTAGAGGGGCAAAAACCTCATTCAACTTTCCAGAACTTGAATAGCTAAGAATTTGGAAATGTCAGGCAGGAGGATACCATTCAAATGTCCAAAAGAATGCTGTACTAAAATGAAGGTATGCTTCCATAGCTCTAGATATGGAAGTCTGGGCAAAGACATACAAAAATAAACTGATCTTATCGGAGAGTGGGAGGCGGAGGTCCAAGAGATATCAAGGAACTGAATCATGCAAGTTTTTGAATGTCACAGCCAGCAATCAGTGCAATGATTAATGCTGTGGATCCACAAATAAGCAACAGGAAGTCAAAAGTAAAAACTTCTAAATTTGTAGTTGTGAGCATATTTGGGAATGTCAGTGTGCGAGTATCCCAGTATGGTAGAATTGTTTGTGTCTCACTGAACTATAGAATGGCATGCTCTTTGGAATCTGTCCGCTCTGAAGAGCAAAGAATATACTTTTCATGTGCTAACAATTGCAATGGGAATGTTGACTGGCTGGCTGGATTTATTTATTGGCTGGTAACAAGCTGGGTGCAACTTACTTGAAAACAGAAGTCCTCACTTAACAACAATTTATTTAGCGACAATTCAAAGTTATGACAGTACTGAAAAAGTGACAACCAGTTCTCACACGTAAGACTGTCCAGTGTCCCCGTAGTCATGTGATCACGAATTGGGTGCTTGGCAACCATTACATATTTATGGCAGTCACAGTGTCCCACAGATTACAGTGGTAATCATTTGGGACGTTCCCAGCTGGTTTCTGACAAGAAAAACTAATGAAGAAATAGCAGGAGGTCACAAATCTCAGGATTAACTCACTTAATGACTGTCATGGGACTGTTGGGACTGCCATCACTAAGCAAGGTAGTCGTGTGTTATGTATGGTCGGTGGGTCCCATGAATAGGCGAGACTCGAGTAGTGAACAATAGCTCTTTATTTAACAGGTAAATTCTGAGACTCAGAACCCTAGCGCGCGGCAGCTCTTATAGAGCTGGCCGCGGCTAGGCAGCCAATGACAACTCTTCGAGTTTGCCGCACTTGGTTTCAGCCAATCGCGGCAAACCCTGTATGAGCCAATCAGGAACATTCAAGCCATCCAATCACGAACCGGCTTTTCTGGACCAAAGGAACGCAAGGTTTCAAGCCTGCTAGTATGGAACACCGTGAAAGTGCTTCACTTAGCAATGGAGTTGCTGGTCATTAAGCAAGAACTAAACGTGTCAGAAATTGGTAAACGGAAATCCTTTACATTTATGTAAAATTGAATCTGTTGGCTTTTGAGATATGTACTGTTTGCATCCAGAGATGCTGGAGGTAACTTTTTCTTTTTCTCTTACAGCCACAGCATATTTACTGTGAAAATGCTAAAAATTGATTCAGAAACCATGCGTGTGTTGCAAGTCAATGAGTAAGCAGCCTTTTTTCCCTCAAATTACACCTCTTTGCTTACATTGTTAACAGTATTGTGTCATAGATATTACATATATTTACGTTTATTTCTATACATTAATCCTTATTCCTATGTTCTATCCACTTAGCGAAGATAGTTTTCGCGTAGGGTTGGAAATTAGAAAAACATACCGTCTGAAGTGATGTTAATACAAAAAAATATTAGATTGTGCCGAGATGGACAAACTTACAATAGAACTAAAAGGCAAGGAGGAATCAGAATACTATGTCATATGGGATAAATGGTATAAGTGGATAGAGTAAGCAGTCTTAATGTTTCAGGAAATCATTATCTCTTCAAAACCATGCTGCGATATGAGTCTTTGCTGAATGGGTGCACTTTTCTCTTCTAGATTATTTCTCTGTGATCTTGCTGGCTCAGAGCGCTGCACGAGAACCTGCAATAAAGGGGAAAGATTAAAAGAGAGTGGAAACATTAACACTTCATTGCTTATTCTAGGCAAATGCATCGGTGCCTTAAAATCCAATCAACAAACAAAGTAAGGACAGGAGGGCGTTCTTTTTCTGAATAGGCAAATCTTGGGGCATCTCAGGCACCCATTTATAGAAAGGAAAAGGAAAATCTAAATAGGAAAGAGAAGTTTTTTACCTTGTTCCTGACTCTTGATTTTCTTTCGAACAATAAAAAATATACAAATTATGTGTTCCCTGTTTAGTGTTCTCCTAACCTTAGCTTCAAAAAAATGCTTGATAGTTTTTTGTCCTCCATTCCAGTGTAAGAGAGAGAGAATAAGAAAAGGAAGGGATTTAGTAAAACAGGGTGCTTAAATGTTCTTTATGGATTGCCTCCAATTTCTAGGACCCCCTCAGAATTGTACTACAGGTAGTCCTTGACTTATAACCACTCACTGAGTAAAGTTACAGTGGCACTGAAATAAGTGACTTTAAGGCCGGTCCTCACACTTACAATTGTGGCAACAAACCCCTAGTCACAAGATTTGAGCATTTGGCAACTGGCATATATTTACGATGGGCGCCATTTTGTGACCTTTCCAGCCAGCTTGCGACAAGCAAATTTCACTTAACAACCACGTGAATCAAACTTAACAAACTGCAGTGATTTGCTTAACTGGCAAAAAAAGGTTGTAAAATTGAACCCAATTCACTTTGCTCAGGAATTTAAATTCTGGGCCCGATTGCGATTGTATGTTGAAGATTATTTGTTTTGAGGTTCAAAGATGCAATGTCTGCTTATCCAGGAAAAAAAAAATGATACGAAAGGCACAAAGTCTTAAAACTGCCACGCCTCTTCCCGAATTTACCTTGGAACAAACAACACTCTCTGTCTGATATAATATAATAATTTCTTCACTGTGCGATCCTTGTAATTAAAGCATTTAAATAATTTTTCAAAAGTTCCTGACCTTGCCTTTAAAGGTCGAAAGATTACCTGTTCTTAATTGACCGGAGGCCTCTGCAGCCTTTCTATAAGATTTTCCTTCTATGTTGATTTTCTAAAAATACCCTTTTATTGTGGCAAGGCTGTTAGTCTGTTATTTATCAGAAAAACAGTTTCCAATCAGATGTAATCTTTTGGTTTTGAAACTTAAATGGCAGGGCTATGTGTGTTTAGACAATTTTTCATCTTGTTAGTTCTCTACGTTGGAGTAGCAAGCTTTAAAACCTCTTTAACAATAAATATCTAAGTTAAAAATAGAAGATAAAACTTGTTTCAGTCATCATCTCCCTGCACAGCCTCTTAAACTCTGGGATATCTGCTTAGAAAGTACACTATCCATTGGGTTTCTCCACCAAGTATCTTCATTTTCTCCCATGAATTCAAGCTTAGCTTTTGCTTGTTTAGCCAGGAAACATGCATTTGATTAGAACCAAAGTTGGACGAACCCTAAGCCTATCTGTAGGAACGAGTTTTGTACTTATTTCTGAAGTAAAATTTTGCAGCCAACTTTCTATATGTTTTAAACCTTGACGCAAAGTTAATTTTTTTTTTTCCTCGTGCCTCATTCCAGGCTACAACAGCACATTCCCTTTCGGGAAAGCAAGCTCACTCACTTCTTCCAAGGTTTCTTCAGCGGCAAAGGAAAGGTTTGCATGATAGTTAATGTCAGCCAGAGTCCCTCAGCGTACGATGAAACTCTCAACGTGCTCAAGTTCTCAGCAATTGCTCAAAAGGTAAATGTGTGCCAATGATTAGTGGCTGGGAGTTAATGCCTATGACAAAATTATTGGGTTACAAAACTTCCAAGATGTCAGACTTCATACCAAGATTTGATAATAAACCTGAGGTTTCTGAATACAGGTAGTCCTCGACTTACAACAGTTTGTTTAGTGACCGTTTGAACTTACAACAGTACTGAAAAAAAGTGGTATGGCCATTTTTCACAATTACGACTGTTGCAGCAGCCTCGTGGTCATGGTTCAAAATTCAGATGCTTGGCAACTGGTTCATAGTTATGACAGTTGCAGTGTCCCAGGGTCATGTGATCATGTGATAACCCGGGGTGTGGCACAAAAGCAACACAGTCAGATAAGCAATAAGAGTCCCTTTATCATCTCCAACTTTGCCCCCAATATCCAGGATTCCTTCGGGCTGGAGAAAAACTCTCCTAGGAACAGCCTTTGGCTGTAGAAAATTCAGTCCAAAACAAAGTACACACAAACTGTAACTTAAAATCCAAACAAACCACACTGAAGTAATTACTGAAGTAATTAGTTCAGCAGGGTAGAAGAAGGAATTTCAAACTTGAAAGCACGGCAAAACTGACACAGTTGGGAAGACGCGAGGAACACAGATAAGCCCCGACAATACAAGATAAAGTCACGTTTGCTTCCAACAGCTTGCTGCACACAGGTTGCCGTTTTTATACACTGTGTTCCCAGCTGCAGCTAATGAAGGGAATCAGGGCCCTTTCATCCCCCGTAAACCACACAACCCACGTTGCTCCCTTCTCTGTTCCTCCCTGTGTGCCCTAGGATGAAGAGTGGGTGGGCCTGGTTCTTCCTCTGAACTCCCTCTCCCTTGTTCTACCACTTCCCTGCTCTGCCCAGCCGGACTTTGCCCTTCCCTAGTTTCTTCCACAGCCAACGGAACCACACTCCCATTCCCTGTCAGCTGTTCGGCTTCCTCCTCCGAGTCAGATTCTGACGGGCATGACATCACCTTTTGCGACCTTCTGACAAGCAAAGTCAAGGGGGAAGCCCAGATTCACTTAACCGCGTTATTAACTGAACAACTGCAGTGATTCACTTAACAACTAAAAAGTCATAAAATGGGGCAAAATTCACTTAACAAATGTTTCACTTGGCAACAGAAATTTTGGCCTCTGTTGTGGTCATAAATTGAGGACTACTTGTAGTGTCTTTGGAGAGCTCTTTTTTACTTATATGCAGTGAGTACCTATAACAGTTATGATTCTGGGGCAGGAATGGATAAGGATGATGAATAAAATGTTAATAAATGCTAATTTATGAATTGTGGCTTTAAACACGTTTTGTGACAGGTCATGGTACTGGATCCTGAGTCTCCCCAAGTAGAGAGAGTTGACCAGGTGTCCTCCATCAAAACAGAGTCCGAAAGTATCCTTGACGATGGCATGCGTTTACCCACGAAGAGAGCAACTATATTTTGGGAGGGGACTCTGGAAGATGTGATGGAAGATGAAGAAGAGCTGGTGGAAGATGGCAATGAAGAACACCAGGGGGATTGTTTGGCGGATGACACACATGCAAAGGAAGCTGACCCAACCGATGAGACGGAAAGTCAACTCGAAGGCGAAGATAGTGATATCATTATCAAAAAAGAAGAATATCAGGTATGACTTTTGCTGGTGCCCAATCTTCAACCAAAGAGACTCTCTAATGAGCATGGGTAGCATCAAGGAAGTTTAAAATTAGAAAATGGGGTAGTGAAGAGGGGAAAAAAGGAAGCTTGTGCATCAGTCCCTATTAGAATCAACGCAGTTAATTAAGAGCGGGTCTTTTATCGGAATTGATGGCTTCCTTTCGCATCGTTTCTTTGTAGTCGAGTAAAGAAGATAGACTACCTTCAAAAAAATAAAAAAGTCGTATCAATTCCTGGCCTTGGCTGATCTCATTAAAAACTAAGGAACGTCATGCCTGGTTAGTAAGAATATGGGACATAGACTAGTCTGAGAAGATTTAAAAAAACACCTTGGGAAAATGGATGTCAAGTCATTAAACTGTTGCTAAGAAAATTACACAGAAGTAGCTGAATAACGTTAGGAGATACCCCAACTGGAACAACCAACAAGGTGGAGTCAAGTTCGTTAAACTTGACTCCACCTTGTTGGTTGTTCCACTTGGGGTATCTTTTTTTTGGGGGGGGATATTTTTTAGGGGGGTATATTTGGGCGGGGGGGGGGAGACAAACATTGAGCATTTCTCCAGAAGGAGAAAAGGCATTTAATAAAAACAACGTATCTCCAATATAAACTACATTTAACTAATATTTGTGTAATCAATGATCAATAGCTACACAAGATTGCATTGTGCTACATGAATTCTGTAGAGGCAGTCTCTCTTTAGCTGTGGATGGAGACCGGTTCTGTTTAATTTAGGTCTAAAGTGGTTGTGCCAACTTGTAAGATTAAAGACATTTTCTTTGAGGTTATCTTACTCCCGTTACTGTCTGCAGCATCTGCTTGCTTAATATAGTTCCCTTTATTAGCCAAGTTCCTTCCATGGTAGTAACAAGAACTGAGCTGGACTCAAGGGCCTTTGCCTAGCAACCAGAAAGCAGCATTTTATATTTGAAAGCAAATCTAGCTTGTGTTTATCCTGCATATCTGTAGCTTGCTTTTCTAACAGCAGCCTATACTCGAAGCTGATTTCTAATTTGACAAGAATTTTTTTTAAAAAAAATTAAATATAAAAATGTCACAAAAACCATCCTGTGAGCTAGCAAATTAAAGAATATAATAAATCAGGCTGCTTTTAGAAATGAATTTAGGCAAAAAAAAGGAGGTCAGGCAGAAAGCAAGTTAGAGGGGTATCTATCTATCAGAATAGAGCTGGAAGGAACCTTGGAGGTCTTCTAGTCCAGCCCCCTGCTCAAGCAGGAGACCCGATACCATTTCAGATAAGGGACTGTCCAGTCTCTTCTTAAAAACCTCCAGGGATGAAGCACCCACAATCGCTGAAGGCAAAGCTGTTCCACTGGTTAATTGTCCTCACTGTTAGGAAGTTTCTGCTTAATTCCAGGTTGCTTCTTTCCTTGATTAGTTTCCATCCATTGTTTCTGCTTACAGATGCTTTGGTAAATAAGTTGCCCCCGCTCCTCTTTATGGCAAACCTCTCAAACCCAGGAATACTGCTATCATGTTACCCCTATCCTTTTTTTCTCCAGACTAGCCAAGCCCAAGTCCTGCAACCATTCTTCATATGTTTTAGTTTGCCAGCCTTTAATCATCTTAGTTTTATTTAGGGAATGTATATTTATTTAGGAAATTTATATTATTTAGGAAATTTATATTTATTTAGGGAATTTGTATATATTTAGGGAATTTATATTTATTTAGGGAATTTATATTGCCGCCTATTCGCATAAGGTGATTAAAAGCGGCTTACAGAATATAAAAGCCCCTGTAAAAACAATAAAACTTATAAAAGAAGAGTCATATAATAAATTCATACACTAAAATCAACCCCAGCGAGAGCATCTCACAGGAGCCATTTAATGGGCTCCATCCCGCTCTGGGGTCCCCAGGCTCACTGGCAGAACCAGGTCTTCAGTGCCTTCCGGAAGAGTGTTAGACTGGCGGCCATTCTAATCTCTAGGGAAATGATGTTCCAGAGAGAGGGAGCCACCACGGAGAAGGCCCTTCTTCTGGCTCCCACCAGGTGTATCTCCCTCAGGGATGGGACCCGCAGCATTTCGTGCCTCCCTGCTCTGATGGGTCAGGTAGATGTGACCAGCAAGAGACGGTCTTTCAGATAACCTGGTCCCAAGCCGTGTTGTTGTTGTTTGCACTTTTTTCAAGTCTCAACATCTTTTTTGTGATGTGTATTTTGTATCCATGGGACGTGGTCAAACAAGTCAATGGTGTGGCTGTGATAATATCAAAGCTGCACCTGTTTCTTTATGAGCTTTGATTGCATGTTGTGGCTGTTATCTTGGATTTTTTTAACCACATCCTAAGAGGCAGGTTCGTCTTTTTGGAATGCCTGTTCCCTGGTTTAGAGGCAGCTGAAAAGGTCATGTTCCTATAAAACATGCTGTAGAAGGAAAGCAGAAGGATTCCCCGGGTGCTGAGCAAATTATTATTGCCTGTAATGGCCAGAACCGATGACTTTGAAGAACAAGCGAAAGAGCCGCTGCCAGAGAAAGCGCCTCAAATAAGACTCTCCCTAATTATCCCAAAAATAAAGAAAGGGAGGAGGGGAGGGAAGCACATTCAAGCTTGCAAGATTTTATCATTCTATAACAGGGCTGTCAAACTTGTGGGCCACACCCACAACCGGTTTCGCGAAGGGGGAAAAAATCCCGGTATGTCACGTGGTGACACCGTAAGTTTAACACCCCTGTTTTATAATAAAAGCAGTATTGCATGCGGGCGGGGGTAGGGGGGTTCAAATTTTTTAACAACCGGTTCTGTGGGCGTGGCTTAGTTGTTAGGCGTGGCTTGGTGGTCATGTTATTGGCTGGGCGTGGCCAACTCAATATCACTCTCATCAAGGCACGCATCTCCTCGCCTGGCCTCTCATGACTGGGGATGCTGCAATAGTCGTAAGTGTGAAAAATGGTCATAAGTCACTTTTTTCAGTGCCACTGTAACTTTGAATGGTCACTCCACACAATCAAAGTACCAGCAAAGGAGGAAAAAATACTCCAGAGAAGTTCCTAAGAAGGAAGAAGAATGCCAAGAATGTAATAAGGGTTAACGGAGAGGCAGTTTCTGTAAGCAACACCAGAATGTTTCCTTCCTGCCTTCCTTACAGGATTAGGCCAGTAATTTCTTCTAACAACCGGTTCTCCGAACTGCTTAGAATGTTAACCGGTTCTAGCGAATAGGTGCGAACTGATAGAATCCCACCCCTGCTTGCCTGATCTCAGTTTCCTATTCTAGTCTACCTTGGTCCTGTCCTAAAGTGGGTGGCTTCACAATTAAATTGTTAACAATCAATATAATGAGCCGCAAATGTTAATAGGATGTAACCCAGTGTAGGATGCTGCGTGGATGCACAATTCATATGTCTGTAAGCCACCTCCAGGTGCCTCTTTGCTATATGACTCGAGGAAGTGTAGGCAGTGCAATTTGGCTTTCTTTACCCATTCATGTTTTCTTGGAGAAAAGAGGCAGCTTTCTCCAATGTAAGCTTTCTTGCCAGGTTAGACAACTACAGGCATATCCTGACTGAAACATTAAATCAATAATACAGGTAGTCCTCAACTTAAAACAGTTCATTTAGTGATCGTTCAAAGTTACACCAGCATTGAAAAAAAAGTGACTTATGACCATTTTTCAACATGACCGTTGCAGCATCCCTGTGGTCACATGATCAAAATTTGGAGGCTTGGCGACTGACTCATGTTTATGACAGTTGCGGTCTCCCTAGGGTGATGTGGTCCCCTTTTGTGACCTTATGACAAACAAAAGTCAATGGGGAAACCGGATTTGCTTAACAACCATGGAACTACCTTTAACAACTGCAGCGATTCAGTTAACGATGGTGGCAGAAAAGGTTGTAAAATGGGGCAAAATTCACCGAACAAATGTTTCACTTAGTATCATGCCCTTGTTAGAGTCGGACTCTGGGGGAGAGGAGGACCAGCTGACAGGGAGTGGAGGTGTGGCTCTGGAGGTTGTGGAGGAGGCTGGGGAAGGGCGGAGGCCAGCTGGGCAGTCAGAGGAAGAACCAGGCCCATCCCCTCTCCATCCTAGGGCACACAGGGAGGAACGTAGAAGGAAACAAGTTGGCTTACAAGAGAGGAAGCGGCCATGATCCCCTTCATTGGTTACAGCTGGGGAGAATAGTATATATGAGAGATAGTTAAACACAGCATTGCCAGAAGCAAAGCATGTTTTATTTTGGGCTGAAGTTATCTTGGTTGGTGTCCTTCCAACAGACTGTGCCTTGTTATCTCCTTGAAGTTGGTAATTACTTTTCCTGGTCCTTGTGGAATTTCCTTCATTGTAGTTTGTTTTGGGTTTTTTTTATTTCGCCTCTATCTGCTCATTAAGTTTAAACTGTATTGCTTTCTTTTAAAGACTATTTTTGAATAAGTTTTACCTCCAACTGAGAATTATTGAACAGCAGGGCCAAGTTGGAGGCATTAAAGGACATTTATTTATGTTTTGGATTTTGTTGCGTTTGTGCTACACTCCGAGTCATCACACTTAGCAACAAAAATTTGGGGCTCAATTGTGGACATACGTCAAGGACTATCTGTAATGGGTAAAGAAAAAAATAGGGGATACCTGTACAAGTGACGTCTGTTGATAATATGGGTTGTACTGTGAATGTATTGATTTAGGAAGCTGTCCATCTTTTGCTAGAAGCCTCTGCCTTATTCAGTAGTGCAACTTTTGTCTAAGAGACAGGATTACTTGAGTTTAGCATCATGTCTACAGAAACTCACCTTGCATGTCGTAACACAGAAAGTCTCATAATATTTATTCTTCTCCTCTCTAGAAGTTACTTTATATAATTGATGAATTGAAGAATAAGTTGATAGAGGAAAAAAAAGCTAAGCTGTACACAGAGCTAAAAATTCGCAAAGAAGTTACTCAAGAATGTTTCCAGTACTTCTGTGCAAAGGAGAGTGACCTCAAGTAAGTCTTCTGGGTTGGTTTTGTGTGTATGTGTGTGTGTGTGTCTGTGTGACTTTGGGGATTTACAGTATACAACAAAGGTGCATGCATATTGTTTCAGAGATCAGGCTGCTTAAATCAGGGAGCAAATTACTTAACAGTGATGGAGCCATTTCTCGTGAATTTTTAGATAGAACAAAAAGGTTTTAGATACTATTCAGCATTTAAGTTTGCCACTTAAAGGTTGTTCACTTGTACACTACTGATAGGTAGCATTCTCATTCACCCGAAAAGCAATCTATTTCCAGATAACCTGAATTATAAACGTGTACTTAACAGAATGAACCAAATGTATATAGATTTTGATAATGTGATTACATAAAACGGCCATCTGTTGAGCTGCGAGCTCACTGACCCGCCACTTGCATGTCCCACCCTCTCCTCCGTCCCCCGCGGCCAGGCCACCAAGCTGAAAAGGTTGGAGACCACTGCTATAAGCTATTTAGGTAGAAATAAGAAGTTTATAAGGAAGACCTTTTAGGTTTAGGTTTGCCTGTATGAGACATATTGCAAAGTAGATGGAGTGACACTGGAAGCCTATAAAATCGTCATATAAAATCGTCTGTTTGTATAAATTAATGGTATAGTGGGATTTTCCCATTCCCAATAATTCAGGGGTGTCAAACTCAACGTCCACAGGTTGGATACGGCTGGCAGGATGCTTAGATCTGGCCCATGGTTCTACCCTGGAAACAGCGAAGGACCGGCCTGCGATGCTTTCCAGTGAAAACGGAGCCTGGGAGGGCTGCATGTGGCCCTCCCGGTCTCCATTTCCAGCTGTGACGGCCTCCTGAAACCCTCTGCCAGTGAAAATGAAGCTCAGGGGGAACCAAATGCCCCCTGGATCCATTTTTGCTGGCAAAAGTCTGCAGGAGGCTGTCACAGCCGAAAACACTCCCCTGGCTCAGTTTATGGTGGCAGAGGGCTGCAGGAGGCCATCGTGGCTGAAAATGGAGCTTGAGAGCTCACTTTCACTGTCACAGCACTCAGTCCCCCATAGGCGCCCTGACACGGGGGTCATCAAGCTGGCCATGCCCACTCTGGCCAGGTCCCTGGGCCCCCGAGGTCAAACAACCCCGATGCGGCCCTCAATTAAATCAAGTTTGACATCCCTGCAATAAGTGAATGGGCAGCTTTCCTCAGTTTCCCTCCTACATTTCTTCTGGATTCATCATGATAATAAAGTTATTATGCATAATAAGGAACTTGCATATGAAGGGCAATTTCTCATATCAAATATGCTTATCTCTTCCAGCTAAGGTTTTTTTTTAAGGAATAAGTTGAAAGGGGGTAGATTGGTATGTTTTGTTTCCAAGAAGTCTATGAATTGTTTTTCTTTCTGATACATTTAGGAAGATCTTTAGCGATAAAGAAGAAATAATGGCAACCACGTGTGAAGAGCGGATGATCATTTACAAGGACCTGGTGAAGGACTGTATTGCACTCCCAGATGGCCAAGGAGGAGCAGAAGAGACGCTAAAAGAGGGTGAAAAAGCAGCAAGTCTTGTTCCAGCAAATGTAAGCAGTTGCGTTAACAGGTAGTCCTCGGCTAATGACCACTTGTTCAGCGATCAATTCAAAATTAAGACAGTGCTGAACAAGGAGACTCACAGTGGGGTCCTTGAGGGTGCAGCATACCCATGGTCGCACGGTGATGATTTTGGCAACTGGCTCATAATTGCAACGGTAGCAGTGGTCATCTCATTGGTGGGTCTCATCTCCCGGAGGGGGGGAATGAGTCTGCCTACCAAGATGAGGTGCACCGGTTGCTTTTGTGGTGTGGAGACAATAACTTGGTCCTCAACACCAATAAGACCAAGGAGCTTATAGTGGACTATAGAAGGAATAGACCAGACATCCAGCCCTTGCTTATCAATGGAGACCAAGTGGAGCAAGTGGCCAGTTTTAACGTTTTGGGTGTTACCCTAAAAGAGGACCTGACCTGAGGCACCCACATTGCAGCCCTGGTCAAAAGGGCCCAGCAGAGATTATATTACCTGAGACTTCTCAGAAAATAACAACTGAATGAGAAACTGCTGGTGACCTTCTACCGCTGCTCCATAGAGAGTCTCTTAACTTACTGCACCTGTGTATAGTTTGCCAATTGCACAGGGGCAGATAGGAAAGCACTCCAGAGGGTTAACATCATTGCCCAGAGGATCATTGGTTGCCCTCTCCCCTCTTTGGAAGAGCTTTATAGCTCCCACTGCCTTAAGAAAGTTCAAAACATTCTCATCTCATCCTGGGCACCCTTTTTTTGAACAATTACCATCTGGCAGACAGTGCAGGGCAATAAAAACAAGGACAAAGCAGCTTCTATCCCAGAGCAGTAACTACTGAATTCTACCGTATAGTGCATATTTTCATAGTCCTAATGTACACTGAAGATGGTATTTAATTTCATTGTATGAGGTGCAATGACAATAAAGTAAAGTGACTGCCATTTGCCACCTTCCTTTCGAGTTCTGACCAGCAAAGTCCTTGGGAAACGACGATCAAGTAACAGTCGTATTTAAGAGCTACACCAGATTTGCTTAAATACTGCAACTGGAATTGCCTGGTCTGGTGTTGTAAGTTGATATGATGACATCAGGATTCACCACTACCTCGTTTAGTGATGAAGTTCCCAACCTCAATGAAAGTAGTTAAATGAAAGTTGGGTCAACATGTCGGCTTTGAGATACGGCCAGCGAACCTGTCATCTTCGGTTTACTCTCAGTGAGCAATGCTTGAGCAAGCCATGGCTTAGTTTGCTTTCTGAACCCAGGCCTATTCTTCTTTCTCCCCCTTTTTCCTTCCCCAGATAGATTGGGAGTTTTTCTTTTTAAATAAATTTTATCCATTTTCTATTAATTACATCTTAGTGCTTAATAAACAAGATGTTGTCTGGGTATTTAATTTGCTTAACAATACAGATTCCATTCTTATTCTCCACCCCTTTTTTTTCCAAACATTGGTAAAAAAAAAATTCCATGTTTGATAATATTCTGTGCCTTCTTTCTGTTTAATTATCAATGTAAGTCTATCCATTTCTGAACAGTCAAGTATCTTTTTAATTATATCTTCATCTTGCGGTTTTTCTTCATCTTTCTAATATTGTGTATAATCCTTGCTGCTGTTAAAACACATAATACTACTACTAAATACATACTTTTCTTATCAAATTTTTTTATCATCCCCTAATAAAAACAGTTCAGGTGTAAAATCTACATGTTTCCCTATTATCTTTTCTAGCCATCTGTATTTTTGGCCATTTTTTTTTTAGCACAAGTCCACCACATATGACTAAATATGCCCATCTTTTGCTTACATTTCCAACATTTACTAGACTTAGTTTTAAGCATTCTAGCTAACCTTAGCAGGTGGTAAATGCCCCAGATAGATAGGGAGTTTTTCAATAATGCTGTTAACTTCTGAGACTTTTATGTACTCCTCTGGTTTTCGCTCTGGCTTTTAAATGTTCTGGGGTTTTTTTTTTGTTCGTTTGTTTGATCTTTGCAACAAGGGAGGTGAAGGTGGAGAACCTGGAAGCGTGGCTGATCTCCCCAGTATGGTGGGGTCACTGCAGCAGAACGTTGCTGATATTAAGCAACAGGCAGAAATGGCGTTCAACATGCTTGATGCTTTGGAAGAGCCTCAGCTGACCATTGAGCGACTTGAAAAGCAGTTGGCTGACGTTACAGCGGAGCTGGCTCACACTCGAGAAGACCTTTGTAGCAAGAATAAAGGTACACAAAGAGCAAAAAAAAAAAAAAACCCAATAAAACTACTGGTAGTCCTTGATGTATGACAGTTGGGCCCAGAATTTATGTGGCTGAGTGAGAAATTTTTTTAAAGTGAGTTTTGCCCCATTTTACGTTTGCTTGCCACGTTTGTTGAGTGAATCACTGTAGTTGTTAAATTTAGTAATATGATTGTTAAGTGAATCTGGCTTCCCCATTTCTTATCAGAAGGCTGTGCGCCTTTTAGTGCGGCCGTTGATAAAAATAGGATCACCAACATGATCGCCAACATCCAATGACAGGGGGAGGAGGAGGAAGAGAAGAAGAGGAGGAGGAAGAGAAGAAGAGGAGGATGAGGATTAGAAGAGGAGGAGGGGGAGGAAGAGAAGAAGAGGAGGAGAAGAAGAGGAGGGGAAGAGGAGGAGGAAGAGAAGAAGAGGAGGAGGAGGAGGATTAGAAGAGGAGGAGGGGGAGGAAGAGAAGAAGAGGAGGAGAGGAGGAAGAGAAGAAGAGGAGAGGAGGAGGAGGAAGAGGCGAAGAAGAGAAGGGGAGGAGGAAGAGGAGAAGAGGGGAGGAGGAAGAGAAGAGGAGGAGGATTAGAAGAGGAGGAGGGGAGGAAGAGAAGAAGAGGAGGAGGAAGAGAAGAAGAGGAGGGGAAGAGGAGGAGGAAGAGAAGAAGAGGAGGAGGATTAGAAGAGGAGGGGGGAGGAAGAGAAGAAGAGGAGGAGAAGAGGAGAAGAAGAGGAGGAAGAGAAGAAGAGGGGAGGAGGAGGAGCAAAAAGAAGAGGAGAGGAGGAGGAGGAAGAGGTGAAGAAGAGAAGGGGAGGAGGAAGAGGAGAAGAGGGGAGGAGGAAGAGAAGAAAAGGAGGGGAGGAGGAAGAGGAGAAGGAGAGGAGGAAGAGAAGAAGAAAAGGAGGGGAGGAGGAGGAAGAGGAGAAGAAGAGAAGAGGGAGGAGGAAGAGGAGAAGAGGAAGGGAGGAGGAAGAAGAGAAGAAGAGGAAGGGAGGAGGAGAGGAGGAAGAGAAGAAGAAAAGGAGGGGAGGAGGAAGAAAAGAAGAAAAGGAGGGGAAGAGGAGGAGAGGAGGAAGAGAAGAAGAAAAGGGGAGGAGGAAGAGGAGAAGAAGAGGAGGGAAGGAGGAGGAAGAGAAGAAGAGGAGAAGAGGACGACGAGAGGAGCCAATCTGCTATTGGCTACCTGAGTCTGTCACATAAAATTTGCTTGCCGTGAGTCTGCACTGAATAATAGAACCTTCAGTCCTAAGGGAGGTTCGGCTGTGCTTAAAAGCAGAGCCAAAGATCTAAAGACTAGCTAGAAAGCAAGAAATCCAACCATCTCCTGCTTCCTAGCTAATCTAAATCTCCCGGCACAGCAGTACAGATGATGGTCAGAAAAAGGAAAAATAGCAATTTAGCAGGCAAGTTTGCCAGGAAAGGAGTGAGTGGGTGGGGAGGGTTCCCAGGGGCCATGTGGGTGGCGCAGCCTTGTGTTTCTGTGCAGTCTGGATTAATTGTTTGGGGGGCTGCTCTGGGGGTGAGATTTCTCTGTGGCCCACCAAAATTTTCTCGTGGCCCACCCGCGGCCCACAGGTTGGCAACGCTGCTCTAAATCCTCAATAAAAGCATTTTATATATCAGAATGTAGATTAAGTCTATTTCTTCATCGTTTGAAAATAAAAATGAACCAGTGATGAATATTAAAGGTATGATAAACATAAGCACTAGTATAATTATATCTTTTGGGTCTAATTAAAAAATGAAAAATAGATTTTTAATTACTGGGGAGCCTAGCAGTGAGCTAAGAGATTCGCCATTTGACCAATTAGTAATTTTACTCTTAAGAGTTTGTTTAATGACTGCTTGTTCATTAAAAGCAGATTGGTCAGTTATTTCCTAACCAATTAATTGAGCAGTACTGAATGTTATCAAATTAACAAAAAAAGACAGAAAATAAGGGTATCAAGAAATTTAATTAAAAATATTCCCTTATTTACATGATGTATAAATCCATAATGTTTGTTTAACATTAGTTTTCTAAACAATCGAAGTAATTCTTCTCATGGTACTTAAAAAATATTTTAAAAACTGCTTATATTCCAGCAGCGGTAATGCAAGGAGATAAACTGAGTGAATCTACTAAAGTCCTTCAAGATGCTACTGAGGTAAAGATTGTTCATTACATTCAAATCAGGAGCAAATAGTCTCTTTTTGTCCCAAAATCACAACAAAAGTAGATGGGTCCATGGAGAGAAAAATGGGGAGACAATAACATCACTTGCTTTTTCTTTCTCACATCCACCCACAGCATTCCTCCCCCCGACCAAAAAAAAACCCCCTCAGAAAAATGATTAATGAAAAAATAAAAACATTGACAGTTGTTAGAAGGCAGTGAATATTGGCATACAGAGAAATAGACTTTCAAATTGAGGAGGAAACTCCAACTCATATCAGGGATCATCTGAGCTCGTGGGTTGTCTTCTTCTGCAGAGGATTTGGGACAATCTTCTGTAACTTCCTAAACCAGGACTTAATGAAGCTAGCCCAACACAGCTTGAGACTATATTTTGTTGTAAGTTGCCAACTATGTGCAGACACATCTCTTCTCAGTCTTCTTTCTCTTTCTTTTCAAGAAAATGGCTCTACAGAACAAACACATTCAGGAGCTGAGTCAAGCTGTGAAAGAAAAGGACAAAGAAATTAGTCAGCTACAAACTCTGGTTGCTCACTTGGAAACTACCATAAAAGATTCTGTGAGTATTGAATCTGTCTACCTGATCACCTCAAAGGTAGCCATGTTACCTCTTAGGGTCAAGGTTTGCTAAGCTTTTAGAGGTAATCCAAAAGTCAATTAGAATTCAGCTCCAAAGACAACCTTTGGAATGTTATTATTTATTATTTCTTTGGAAAAAGTCAGCCTCTATGTTTACAATCTATTAAGACAAAGATTTTTGAAGATAGCGTATGATAAAACAAAGAGGGCCTGTACATTTTCTTGAAAGGTAAGCAACTTGAGCTGGCCAAATATGTTCCTTTACTCCTTGATTTCCTACTCTATTGGCATTTTTTTAATCCATAATGGAACATAAGTGTGGATAGAAAAGTAATGTTTGACTTGCTGTCAGACATAACAGAAAATGTCTGCTCTCCTAGAGGCACTCTATCCAATCCCCACTCTTGAGATAGCACTTAGCAATAGCCCTTAGACTTATATACCGCTTCACCGAGGTTTATAGCCCTTTCTAAGCGGTTTACAGAGTCAGCATATTGCCCCCAACAATTTTGGTCCTCATTTTACCCACCTCGGAAGGATGGAAGGTTGAGTCAACCTTGAGCCTGGTGAGATTCGATCTGCCAAATTGCTGGCAGTCAGCAGAAGTAGCCTGCAGTACTTCACTCTAACCACTGCACCACCACAGCTCTGAGATGACACACAATTGAGTTAAGATTGAAGGTCCGCTTCATTATTTGTAGATTTTCAAATTCAGTGACACCAAATAGTGCTCTGACCACATAGGCTTCTTTCCCACATTATAAAATTTCTTCAAAGCCTCTTCAATTGCAACCCTATTCAGTAGTACCTTGATCATTGCCATTGTATCATAAGAAAATAAAATACTTTATTGTACTCACACTTTAACCTTAATGAATACCTTAATAGTGGCCATGTGACTGGGAGCTTGCATGCACCCTTGTGATAAAACCTCCTTTGGGGAAATGGTGGAAGAGACTTTCTTTCTCCAGTGACTCAAGGAGCTACACCATTAATAGTGTACACCATAATGTGGAGTCATCCATAGGCACGACAAAGAAGAATTAAACTAAATATGATCTGTGGAAGAAGGAAATTCCAACTCCCTCCAATAGTGTGCCAAAACCAAATGGACACTTTATAGTTAGAATATCATAAAGAGATTAGAAGATGAGTCAGAAAGTATTCAAAAAGCACTCGGAGAGCAGAGATTGAGTACGAGTAGCACTGGCATTTATGTTGTGGCTGGAGCAACGTTGAAACAACATTTGTCAACTAACATGGCTATAGCAAAAGGACAGATTAATGCTGTAAAGGTACAAAGGCAAACCATAGGTAAATGAAACATTAGATCCATGAGCAACAGAAAAATTGATGTCAGAGTAGAAATGTCAAGATTTTACATCGATATTCTGGGAGGCAGCCAACTGAGATGGACTTGAATGTACCATTTTACCTCAAAGCATCAGATTATAGATTAGGCATCATTAACAAAAAAAAAGGTGTCAAAAGTTGGAGCCCTTATACAATCTCTATAAATGATAACTGAAACTAAAAGAAACAAAGTCACTTGACCAAGAAGGTATTAGTTGAGCAATATTCCTTGACTTTGGCAGATACAAATAATTACTTTAATGGCTTAGATTTGGTAAGTTAAATGCCTGAAGAATTTTGAATTGAAATCTGTCACATCCTTTAAAATAAAACCAACAACAATATCCTGAAATGAAAAAAAAAATCTAATGAAAGAAAAACTGTGTCTGAGAGAGAATTGTACCATGAAATATGGTGCTTGCTAATAGAAAAGAGCTGGATCAATTCATGGAAGTCAGAGGGATCAGCGACTCTTAGCCTTGACGGCAGTGTGACCACTTCTGAAGGCCATCTGCTAGAAGACTAGTGGGTTTCTTTATGGGGTTGGTTGGCCACTTTGAGAGCGATCGCTGGGTCTGATCCAGCAGGGCACCACTTACAATTTATTTGGGAGAAAACATGGTCAAAATAGTAATGTTAGACTCTGGGGAGGCATCTCTGACAATTAATGTGCTGAGAAATTGAATGTCCCCACATTGCCTTAGTTACACATTGCCTATGTCATGGCTTTCCCAATTGTAATGTACAGCCTTGAAACTGAGCCATCAGGAAAAAGTAATGAAGAAAAATTGATGCTTTTGAATTGTGTTGGAGAAGATTGCTCAGAATACCTTCGACTAGAATCTAATTAATTCAGTACTGGATGAAATACATTCAGAGAGCTAATTGGAAGCCATAATAATGAAGTTAAAGGTAGAATAATTTTGGCACATAATGTGAAGGCCAGAGTCAATAAAGAAAACCCTGAAGCTTGGGAAAAAAAGCTAGATACTATCACTAGTATGATTCCAATTACAACTCTCAAGATTGTCCTGACAGACAATCCCATTGAAATATGTCCGTTGAGGTACAAAGATTTAAAAGCAACTGGACAGTAACAAAATGATGCAAACTAAGGCCTCATTCAAAAAGGCACACAGCCTTGTGTAGGTAGAAAAACCTTCGTGATGTCCTCATTTTTCATGTCATTACACACATTTGTTCTTAAAACATAAGGAGCTTTAGGGAGCAACTTCTTAAGCAGCGTGGGAAGTGTGGAGAGAGGCTGATTCTCATATCTAGAAATGTTTTCCCAGGCAACTTGATTTCATTCTAATAGCATACATCGGTGGTTAGGTCTTGAGGATCCGTGGCCATAAAAGGTATTTAAAGGGGGTCCATGGTGAAGAAAAGGTTGAGAACCACTGGCATACATGATTTAAACCAGGGGTCTCCAACCTTGGCAACTTTAAGACTTGTGGACTTCAACCCCATGCTTTGCTGGCTGCTTTGCTGGCTGAGGAATTCTGGAAGTTGAAGTCCACAAGTCTCAAAGTTGCTAAGGTTGGAGACCCCTGATTTAAACTTTCAGAGAGCAACTTCCATGTGAGAGAGGGAGAGAGATCTTGTGATACCTTGCATCACTGAAGAACAGTTTGTTTTGTTTATCTTTGGTGTTACCATGTAAAGCAATTATCTAAATTTTAGACTGCTCCTTGAAATAGATAATTGGAAACAACAAACTATTTTGGATGTTTTATGAATAAAATCTGAAGGAAAACATTTCATGACAATGAAAAGACAAAGAATTATAGACGTGAGGTGAGGTAATATATAGATCCGCTGTGTGGGATCCATTATAAGGAACACACTCTCTATCCTAGAGTCAGCTCCATTTCTATTTTCCATACAAGATCCTACAAAAGTTATCTGATCCTATGCATCAAGATAGGGAGAAATCTAGGGAATAAGATTTTTTTTTCTTATTTGTGTGTATCAAGTTTCAAATGAGAGCACTAAAATTCTTATGGTATTGGAAGGGAGCAATCTCCAGAATACTGAGAAGTTATCATACTTACTCAGTGCCTATATCCATTAATTTGACTAATACTCCATGCAGAAATAATAGTTTTGGTGATCCTACCAAAGGTAAAGGAGGCCCCAGATTTTACTCAGCTAATAATTGCTGACTCTAGGGTAGGGGTCGGCAACCTTAAACACTCAAGAGCCACAAAGGTCCTAACCAGAAGCCTCCCGTTGAATTCTGGAGCCGACCAGAAGTCTGGTTCCCCCACCATAGAGTCTCCTCATAGCATGGCATCCTTTTTCCTCTACTGACTGGCAACAGGGAGCCGCAGCAGAGCGATGAAAGAGCCACATGCGGCTCTAGAGCCATAGGTTGCCAACCCCTACTCTAGGGGGCAGTGCTCATCTTGGTTTCAAGGCTGTTGAGCCAGCGCTATCCAAAGGTATTTCCAGTCGTGGCCAGCGTGACATCAAGGAGTGCTGTTACCTACTCACCAAAGTGGTACCTATTTATCTAGTTCCATTTGCATGCTTTCAAACTGCTAGGTTGGCAGGCGTGGAGTGAGAATGGAAGCTCACCCCATTGTGTAGTGCTTAAGTCAAACGTGGGCTGTTGGCTTTCCAGCCAACAAGTCCAGCGTCTGAATCGCCGAGCCACCTCAAGGTGAGGCATTAGTGAAACTAGCAAAGTATCTAAAAATAAGCGAACTTGACAAACATATTGACTGGATACTACATTCCAGCATGTATGAGTAGCAATGGAAAAAAAAATCTTATTTATCTTTTTTATTGTAGGAGTCATTTAAACTAGAAATGGTAAAGCAGGTGAATTGTTAATGGTTCTGCCCTTTAAAAATTGGCTTCTTTATTTTAATGCAGGAGATCACCATTGCCACTATAAAACAGCAAATAGAACAAGAAAACTGCAGTGAATCCAAGGAGAAAAACATTGGCTCAAGAAGGAAACGGTATTTAGAAAGGGATGAAGAAGGCCCCCCTTCAAAGCAAGGTATCACTTCCTCTTCTGCATATACCGAAAGGCTGCTGAGGTCAAAAATAATTTATATATCAAAACAAAAAGTTAATAAAGTACAGAATTAAATGTTGAGACCCAGAAGACGGCTGTCACATCAGATGTGCATCTTGCATGAACTCCTATTATTTTTATAAAAAATCAGAAATAAACATTTTTTTAAATGGAACATCTCCCTTTCCATGTAGTGTGTGTGTGTTTCTCATCAAATTGATGTTGTGAGCTAGCTTCTGTTTTGTGAATCTGCTGGGTCTGCTCAAGTGTGTGTTGTATTTGTGTAATTTTGATTGTCCTAAATGTACTAGTCAATGGAAATTCCAATCTTTGTGAGTCTGCTAAAAACATCATGGTTTGCTCTGCAAGATCCTGCATCTTTTTCATCTGAATTATTCTTCCCATTTATTTATTTTTACAGCCAGCAATTTACATGGTAGTTAATATTTTTGGTTTGGGATTCATATAGCCACGCCCCCCCCCCCAAAAAAAATCACAACCCTCATTGTTAAGAGAATCTTTAAAGGTCACCAGTATAAAACCTATTACTCTGTAGCACGTGCCAAGAATTGACTAATCTCTGCCTCATTTATCTGGATCAGTGCTTCTCAACATTGGTAGCTATAAGTTATATGGACTTTAAGTCCCCAAATCTCTAGCTATTACTGGCTAGGGAATTCTGGGAATTAAAGTCCACAGTCTTACGTTTCTCCAGGTTGAAAATCACTGGTCTAGACCAGGGGTGTCAAATACAAGGCCCATGATATGGTTGAATCCGGTGGGGACGTCCTGGAAAATGTAAGGGACAGGCCCACGTCACTTTGGCCTGGTCTACCCAATGCAAAGAGGAAACATTGGGCTAGCGTGGCTTTGGCCCGGCCTACCCAGTGTGAAGAGGAAACATGCCAGCAGTTTGGACAGTGGTGTCAAGTTAGCTACGTCCACCCAGTCAGCCATGTCCAGTGAATGATGTCAAGCTGGCCATGCCCATCCAGTTGGCCATGCCAGCCTAGCTCCCCACAGCCCTGAGGCAGCCCTCAAAAAAAATGAGTTTCACACCCTGGCCTTAGGCTATCCTGTAGATACAAAGGATTCTGTTCTAATGTTTGTTTTTCATTTGCACCAATTTTCAAAGCTACAAACACATGAAAGTATATTTTCAAAGCAACATTATATCTGCTTTTCTATTGGATTTGCTACCTCCTCTTATATTTTTCTTATTTTTTTTTTTTCAAATGAGAGAAAACCTCTGTCCCATGCCTTCAACAGAGAAAAATTCAAATATATTCCCCCCGCCCCTCCAAATGAGATTTAAAATGCTAAATTGGTCCTTATCATAAAAAGATGAAATTTACTGTTGGGCTTTTTGATAAATTAAAACTAAATCTCCCCCTCTTTTTACTCCTTTCTCTTTCCTGTATATCGGATATCTGTGATAACAGAAGGAAGGTCATGTATGTATAGCTAAATGTCTGATCATGTGTTGTTCTGTGGCCTCTCCGGTGCTCTCTCAGCTTGGCTGTTTTCTTGCATACGCTTCAATACCAAACTAGGCAACATCATCAGTGCTAGTAGGGAGTGGTGTTTGTGTTTTGTATCCCTCTGTATGCTTGTGCTGTACAGCAGAAGTCCCCAACCCCCCGGGCTGTGGCCTACTACTGGCTGTGAGCTGTTTGGAACTGGGCCTTGGAAGTGGCGGGGGAGTATTCAGGTGCATGCGCACCTCCCCAGCTATGTGAGCAAGCACATGCCCTTGCACCCCATTTGCACGAGTGGCAGGCATGTGTCCCCGATGTTCCCACAAATGGAGCTGTGAGCTTGCATGCTTGGCGCCACTCACACAGAATCTCCTCAACCAAACCCCGCCAGCCCGCAAAGTCGGAAAGGCTGGGGAACTCTATTGTACAGTGGGACACTTCTTCTGGATCAGTATGAAGCTTGTTGGAATCCTGCAATTAAAGTAGCTTTCTACTACTGTACATTTTCATGCCACTGCAAAATTACATTCCACAAATGCTTATATTCCAATATCAACATAGATATTGTCCTTTAATGAGTTTTTTTCCTCTTGTTGGCCTGTCAGTAAGTGTGACTTATCATTTGATATATAGAAATACAGGCAGTCCTCAATGTACGACCACAACTGAGCACGACATTTCTGTTAAGTGAGTTTTGCCCCATTTTACGACTTTTCTTGCCACAGTTGTTAAGCGACTCGCAGCAGCTATTAAGTTAGTGACACGGTTCTTAAGTGAATCTGGTTTCCCCATGGACGTTGCTTGTCAGAAGGTCGCAAAAGGGGATTACAAGCCCCCCCTCCCCGGGATTCTGCAACCGTCATAAATATGAGTCAGTTGAACTGTTGTAAGTCGAGGACTAGCTGTATGCATCTTTAGAAAGCACAAAGGTTATGTGAAAAGACTTACATTTGTCCCTCTGTTTTGTCATTGAATACACTCTATGGTTTTTGTTTATGTGTGTGCATGCATGCATCTGCGACTGTAAGTTTTTCTTCATCATTCCTCTCTTCAGGTGTGTGCTAAATACCATTTGGCTATATTTGGACCAGCAATTTCAGATTTCAATTACCAGTAATTACTGTACTTCAGATTAGAGTGGCTTACCACATCATCATTCTCCTTGAACAGGAAGAACTTTTTTGGGTGGATCAACATTGCCCTGCTATATAAAAACACCACAGATTCCTTTTTGAAATTGATGTTACCGTATTAATGCCTGGTCTGTAGAGATTTAAAATTGCTATTTTTTGAAGCTAATGTTTTTATTAATGTATTTGCAAACCCAGCAGAATTTTTTTAAAAATTTACCTCAGCCTCAAAAAAAAATGGTATAAAGAAAGAACACAATATATTTGAAAGTATATTATAATAAGATAAAAAATAATAATAGGACTTAGATTTATATACTGCTTCATAGAGCTTTACAGCCCTCTCTAAGCGGTTTACAGAGTCAGCCTATTGCCCCCAACAATCTGGGTCTTCATTTTACCCATCTCGGAAGGATGGAAGGCGGAGTCAACTTTGAGCCGGTCAGTATCAAACTGCTGTCATTCGGCAGAGTTAGCCTGCAATATTGGATTCTAACCACTGTGCTACCACCATGGCTCTTTATGTAAAAATCAAATAACTATATAATGTTTTATTTTTTTGACAGCAACAAATAAGGAAATAAAAACTTCAGGAAATTTTGTGGTGTCTAAACTGTATATTCATTTAGACTTCTGCCTCAAGCAGTGCTATCACTGCAGATAAGCTAGTCTGCACAACAACAGTGTCAACTTCTTAAATAGTTGCTCAGGGATAGTTAATAGACTAGACTTGTAAGGCAAGTCAGTTGTCTGGTTTTCCCAAAATTGATTTGAAGGAAACAAGGAACCAAAAATGGTCTCTAAAATACCTTTTTCAGATCCTTTATTCACGTGGCAAATTATCTAAAATGATGTTACAGATATGTTGGCAGTTGACGGTTGTATAAAATTCATCTTTTTACTTTTCGTAGGATTCATTCACAGCAGTTCTAAAGATGCCATAGTCTCAGAGAAAGCTGATGAAACACAACCCCATCCTTTGAAGGAAAAGGGAGACATGGTGGCCTTGGAGGAAAGAAATAAAATGCTAGAAGTTCAGGTGGCCTCACTTAAAGAAAAGTTAGAAAAAGAGAAAAATGAGAAGGAGGGATTTTCCAGTGAAATTGCTCGATTGTCTCAAGCTCTTTCTTCCGAAAAGGAAAGAGTTTCTGGCTTGAAAAGGGAGCTCCAGCAACAGCAGATAATTCAGGAGCAGGCAACACTTGAATTAGCTATGCTGAAAGAGAGAAATAAAGGTCACGAGGAGAAAATTCGGATTCTGCTTCAAGAGATAGGTGCTGCTAGCCAAATAACTGTAGAAGAAAAATCACAGGTAAAGACACTTGAAGCAGAACTGGGTTTATTGAACAGGTTAGGGTCAGCTTGCCCTATGGTAGATGTTGTCTTGGCAAATCAAGAAAATATATCAAGAGACAAGCTTTTGCCAACTCCTGTTAACGCTGATGAAAAGAGCTCGTTCCATCGTAGCATTGAAGGCATCTGGAAAATCAGCCAGGAGATCATTAATGCCTCATCCCAAAAAAGCAGTAGTATTGCAGACCTCATGCAACAGGTTGAGCAGTTACGGATGAAAACTTCGGAGGCCGATGAGGAGAATTCTCAGCTGAAATTGAAACTGAGAGAAACTATAAGTCAGAGAGACGCATTTGTGCAGGAGAAGACATCCCTCCTTAATCAGCTGAGGGACCTAGAGCAGAAAAATACTTTTTATGTTGAAAAATATAAGGAAGAGGAAAATAGAGCGGTTGAGAAAATAAAAACGAACGAGGACTTATTAGAAGAGTGTAGGGCAAAAGATGTCAGAATAGTTTCTTTAGAACAAATAGTGAAAGATAAAGAGTCAGCCATTTTAGTGATGAAACAATCCATTCAAGACATGGAGGAGAAGCTTGGCATTTCGGAAGCTAAAATCGGAAAATTCATGGATCAGGAATCACAACTGAGGGTGGAAGTTGTAGACCTGAAGAGACTGAATGAAGTTGGAAGAGAAAAGTTAAAGCAAGTCACCAAAGAGTAAGTTTTTGTTACCTTCCTGCTAAATAATACATAGATACAAATATAAATATCAGATGAAATTAGACTATCTGCATTCTGTTTCCTTTATCCCAAGAAATGCTTAATCTAGGATAGTTTTTCAATTAGATGTTTTCTAGGAATTGAATTCCCACTTCTAGACTTCTGTTAATTGAAGTCATTGACTGATCTATTGTCTTAATAGTATAATAGTATAGTATATTAGTATAATAGCTGGTAATAGTGATAAAAAATCGAAACTTTGCAAGCCAGCAAAATTGCAGACTTCTATAGTAGAAGGGACAAGCATTATGAACATAATAGGGGCTGCTTCTCAATAAACAGCCTTGGGAATGGGTTGTATACAGCTTTTGGATAAAATGCTTTAGAAGTGGCAGCCGTTCAAGGTAAACCAGGCTAGGAAACCAAATACCATATACATTAGTGTTACCTTTATTGTAAGGCTTTAGTAACAAAACCTTGCAGGTCTGAACGCGCTTCTGTTTTTGTTCATGTTGTGTGATCTAAGGAAGGGTTTGAGATTAGAAGAGAAGGGAAGAGTTGGAAGGGATCTTGGAGGTCTTCTAGTCCAGCCCCCTGCTCAGGCAGGAAACCCTATACCATTTCAGACAAATGGTTATCCAATCTCTTCTTAGCAGTTTCCAGTGCTGAAGCATTTACAATTTCTGAAGGAGAGGTGTACAATCGATTAATTGGTTCTAGCTGTCGGGAATTTTCTCCTTAGTTCTAGGTTGCTTCTGTCCTTGATTAGTCTCCACCCATTGCTTCTTGTCCTGCCCTCAGGTGCTTTGGAGAATAGCTTGACTCCCTCTTCTTTGTGGCAGCCCCTGAGATATTGGAACACTGCTATCATGTCACCCCTAGTCCTTCTTTTCATCAAGGTAGACTTTCCCAATTCCAGCAACCATTCTTCATATGTTTTAGCCTCCAATCGCCTAATCATGTTAATCAACCCTAAAGATGTTACATTACATTTTTGACCTGGGCTCAGAATCTCCCCCCCACCCCGCCCCCATTGCTGCCTTGGTGGTGACTTTTCCTCCTGGCCCAGAAGGTGCCTCTGCCCTCTACAAGAGCATCATGCTCAGCAAACTAATTAAATAAGTAACATAACAGAAGCTCAAAACTCCTGCTCAAATAATACTCATGAATGGCTCTTACCTCAGACAGAGAAAGGCATTGAATAGGCTTTCTGGTACATATAATCTTAAATATTTTTGTTAATGATGAAGTGAGGGGATGCTTACCAGATCTGAAGAGGGCATAAAGCTCTATGGAATAGCTAATGCCTTACAAGACAGAAATGAAATAGAGTGAAGATCTTGCTAGATTAGAGGAAATAGGTTGAAAAATAATAATGATATTTAACAGAGAAAAATGCAATGTCCTTTAGTCTGGAAAAAGAGATAAGTGTGCCACATTTTGAATGGGGGAGAGTGTTTGTATTTAGAAGAGAAAATTAATGCACTCTGCTTCTGTTTGTATTTAGAAGCTTCAATTAATGCAAATTGCAGCAGCTAGCTGCTAATGTTAAAAAAAATTACAGGTTGTTAGTTGTTGTATCTGCATAATTTAAGATGCTAATTTTAACTTTTAAAGCCCGGAACGGCTTAGGGAATTTTAGAGAGGCCTTTTCTCAATAGGAACCTGCCCAGACCCGTCTGGAAAGACACTGACCAAATCTGCGAGAAGATCTCCATGGAACTGAGTAGAACACAAGCAGTGATAATAAAATTGCAAATTTGGCTGATTTGGCTGGAAGACCTAGGTAACACTGCTTGGAATCCAAAAGTGGTTGTGTTTGTGAAAGAGAAAAATAGAAGTTCTCTATAGAAATCTAAATTAATGTCCTTACTGAGTTTTTTCTAACTATTTTTACCTATGGTTGTTAGTCTATCATAGCTTTAGTGTAACTTATGCCTCCTAGGTAGTCTGCATATAGCTTCTGACCATTTTTGGTTTTCCTTTAATGCCCTTTGAAGGCTTAAAGAACATTATTTCTGTTTTCTGATCATATACCAAACAAGGGGGTTAAGTTTTTCCTGACTATTTTTTTTTTAATAACCCTTGGGAACATAACTAACAAAACTTACAAAATTGGAGATGAATATTTTGGTCCCATTCAAAGAACACTATTTGCAATGACTCAGTGGTACTGGAGTTGGGACCCAAATGCCCTGGAGCTCTTGGAAGCGAAGACCAACTTAAAAAATTAAAATCCACAAATATTTGCTTGTTCCTATCGGAGAAGAACATTTTCAAGGTAAGAAGTAGAGAGTGAGCCATTTCACCTATATGTTGCTATTGAAACATGTTTGACTCTTGGCTCTATTCTATTCCTGGTTTGTTTAACTAGAACTCTGCAGCTTAGGGAGTTATTTCTAAAAGACTTCACTCTTTTTTTTTCGCACTCATGCACAGAAGTTGTTTGCTTCTTTTTCAGATTGAAAGAAGAGCTATCAAAGAGTACCGATCTTTCTTCCCGCCTGCAAGCAGAAATCCAGCAGAAAGATGAAGAATTTGCAGATCTGAAGGAGAAGTTGGCTGATAGCAAAAAGCAGATTGAACAGGTTCAAAGACAGGTCTGCAAGAGGAAAAAATAATAATAATATTTTTCCTGTCATTCTGTATGCAACTCTTCTTTTGTCTTCTGCATTTGACTTACAAAAGTTCATTTAGTGGCCAATCTAAGTTACCAGAGGACTGAAAAAAGTGACATGATACTTTTTCACATTTAGAACCATTACAACTTGGCAACTGGTTCATATTTATGACGGGTGGGGTGTCTCAGAGCTGCGTGATCACTTTTTTTGACTTTCTGACAAGCAAAGTCAACGGGGAGGCCAGATTCACTTAACAATGACGTTGCTAACTTAACAACTGCAATGATTCACTGAACAAACGTGGCAAGAAAGATCATAAAAAAGGGCAAAACACTTAACAAATGTTTTACTTAGGAACAGAAATGTTGGGCTCAATTGTGGTCGTTAAGTTGAGGATTGCCTGTACTTCTAATTTGATTAGTCATGCTTGAAGACATAAAATTGAGTTAAATTGAAGCACTCCAGGAAGAAATTAAACAGATTGACCTTCCATGGTCATCAGTTGAGAATCTCTTTTGAAGGTTTATTAATAGTGGTGGATATCTTTTGTTTGAGTTTTGTTCAAAGCCTCTTTAGGCCAACATCACTGGACAATTTCCATTCCTACTGATGTAACAAAACTATCAACTCTCAGATTTTTCTGGCTGTTTCCTTTTTGTCCACATCAAGATCATTTTTCCTCCCTGCTATTAGAAGCTCCATTTGTTCTGCTTTCAAAAGATGACACATGTTCCTGCTGGAAGTCATCTCTCTGCTCACATCGATGTTTGATTTGTCCTTCTTCTCTGTATTTCAAATTGCAGCCCAGATACGTGGGGAAAGTAGCACTCTCTCTCCAACTGGGTATAATCTTTTTACAGGTGGGCAGCATGCGTGCTGAAGAGAAATTGCTGCGGAGTAAAGTTAATGAACTTGAGAAGGCCAAAGGCCAGCTAACTGAAGAGCTGGATCTCAAGCAGCGGACAATCCAGCAATTTAAGAAGGTGCCACAGAAAGTTTCAATCTTGGTAGCATTATGTGGGGGGAGAGGTTGAATGTGACTTGCATAACATGGCCCTTGGAGTGCAGTTGGTGCCTTGCGTGTGAAGCTCTTAGTGAAGACAGTCGGTGCTTTGTGCGTGAAGCTCCTAGTGAAGACGGTGCTTTGTGTGTGAAACTCCAAGTGAAGACAGTCAATGCTTTGCATGTGAAGCTCCTAGTGAAGACAGTGCTTTGCGTGTGAAGCTCCTAGTGAAGACAGTGCTTTGCGTGTGATGCTCCTAGTGAAGACAGTCAATGCTTTGTGTGTGAAGCTCCTAGTGAAGACGGTGCTTTGCGTGTGAAGCTCCTAGCGAAGACACTTGGTGTTTCGCGCATGAAGTTCCTAGTGAAGACAGTTAGTGCTTTGTGTGTGAAGCTCCAAGTGAAGATGGTGCTTTGCGCGTGAAGCTCCTAGTGAAGACAGTTAATACTTTGCGCATGAAGCTCCTAGTGAAGACAGTTGGTGCTTTGCGCATGAAGCTCCTAGTGAAGACAGTGTTTTGCGCATGAAGCTCCTTGTGAAGACAGTCGGTGCTTTGTGCTTGAAACTCCTAATGAAGACAGTTGGTGCTTTCTACATGAAGATCCTAGTGAAGACAATGTTTTGTGTGTGAAGATCCACTCAAAGACAGAATTTAATGTAGGTTACTGCTATGTGTATTTAGCATTGCTATCTGCAATTGAGCACAGTGGTTCTGACTTTAGAATTACCCAGTTTTTATGGTTAAAAAAAACTTTTACAAAACGTTTAGTGCCTATGTCTGATGTTTTTTATTTCTGTGTCCAAATCAGGACAATCTAAGTAAGAAGCTGGAGGACTTGTTACAGCAGTACCAGAATTCATGTGAAGGTATGTAACAACTAGGAAGGAGACACACCCAGAGAGAGAATGAGTGTCGGTGTATTTGTCCATGCTTCTAAATGTTTCTGCTTCTTATTCTCTCTGGATTGTATAATTTTGCTAATCTATATATAGTGTTGATATGAAGTACTACAGTATATCAGGGGTCGGCAACCTTAAAAACACTCAAAGAGGCATTTGGACCCGTTTCCCACAGAAAAGAAAACTCCGGGAGTCACAAAACTCTTCCCATGCCTGAGTATTTCTTGAGCGGCCACAAAACTAGCATATGTAGTTGAATTAAACATTCTGTTTTCTTCTGAAACTTTTCTTTTCTTGGATTTATCCATCGTTGGACAACCGGGGGTCAAAAAGCTCAGTAAATGGTGTGCCGGCAGGTATTGCACATTGGCGGTTGTGACGCATATTTTGAGCGACAGGGAGCTGCAGCAGAGGGATGAAAGAGCCACATGCGGCTCCAGAGCTGCTGGTTGCCGACCCCTGTACTATATCAATGAAACCCCTGCTCCTCACATGAGCAGCCTCTTTTCTGCATATAGCAGGAAGCTGAAATCACTTGGGTTGGAAAAGTGAACCTGAGGCCCACAGCTACGTCTCCCTGCTCTCCCTAAGAATTCATTTTGCGGAAGGACTGCACAGAAGGCTTTCAAGAGTAGCCATTTTTATTTCCAACTTTAGATGTGCTTTGCAAAGAGAAGATCATTGACGACATGAGACTGACCTTAGAGGAACAAGAACGGACTCAGTATGAACAAGATCAAATTCTTCAGGCCACGCTAGCAGAGAATGAAAGGTGTAAAGCAGGTAAGCCACAGTGGAGGAGGATGTGCTTTATTCCCTCGGCTCCCTTACACAAAAGCCAGGCAGCCTTTGAAGCTGAGGTGTAGATTTCAACCACAGGTAGTCCTCGACTTGCAACAATTTATTTAGGGGCCGTTCAAAGTGACCATGGTACTGAAAAAAGTGACTTGTGACCATTTTTCACACTTAAGACCTTTGCAGCATCTCCATGAACACATGATTAAAATTCAGATGCTTGGCAACTGGTTCATATTTTTGACCGTGGCTGTGTCCCAAGGTCACTTTTGCGACTTTTTGACTAGGGGTCAGTGGGAAAGCCAGATTCATTTAACAACCGGGTTGCTAACTTATCAGTTGCACTGATTCACTTAATAACTTAGGCAAGAAAGGTCATAAAACAGGGCAAAACTTGCTTAATGAATGTCTCACTTAACAACAGAAATCTTGGGCTCAGTTGTGGTTTTAATTGGAAGGCTACCTAATATAGATACATATGCAGCTTGCAGGAGAATTAATCATGAAAGTTGCACCCTTTGTTTCACATGCCAGGAAATTTGACCTGTCCAGTCTCTTGGTCATCTGAAGTTTCATCTTGCACCAGCTGCTTGAATTCTGTAGTCATTGTAGGCAAATTGTGACTATCTTCAGTTGCTGCTAATGGGATTCATTTTGTCATCTTGTATGTCAATTGTATGTCCACTTGCTAATGCACATGTTTTGCTGTAGAATTGAAAGAATGGGAAAAAAGATACCAGGAGCTAAAGGAGCAGAAGAATGATATGAGGCCACAAGACATTAATGAAGGCTGTGAAAAAGACGCCAACTTGCTTCACAAACAATTAAAAGAATTGCAAGAGAAATTGGAGGTAACGCGTCACTTCCTGTCACATTTAGTGGCAAATAGGGGAGGGGACTTCATGCCAAGCTACTTGCTGTTCTCACCTAGGCTTTTCACGATCAGGAAGCAGATCCTCATTCCGATAAAACCCCTTTTATTTAGGTTAAAGGGAATTCCTCTCCAGCAAACAGTCTTTCACGAGATTTCACAACTACAGACCTTTATCAGGCTTGGAGAGTTGCCAGGCCGCTATCTTCCAAACACCACACTATAGCAGCAATTACTTGGCAAGAAATCAGGAACAGATCTTCACCCTAATGAATTGAACTAATTATCTCCTGCAAACACCACTCTCCTTTTGCTCCTCTTTGTTCCCTATGGGAGGGGCCATTCACCTGAGCCTAATTTGTTTCTTAAAAAAAAAAACCTCTAATAAACTGGCATTGGTAGTCCTGAGAGACCAAGGATTTTTATAACTGTATGATCAAAACAACACGGTTCTAATTTTTACAAAAATCAGTTCCCCACTAACTACACTTAGGTTGTTGGGTAAGAATAATGGGAAAACATATTTCTTTAGATGCTGTCAGCTCTAGAAATGAAGGGCTTATTTGGTTTGTACTAACATTATAATAACAATAGCAATAGCACTTACACTTACAATATATACTGCTTTATAGCCCTCTCTAAGCGGTTTACAGAGTCAGCATATGGCCCCCCAAAATCTGGGTCCTCATTTTACCCATCTCGGAAAGATGGAACCTTGAGCCTGATGAGATTTGAACTGCCAAATTTCAGGCAGCTGGCAGTTAGCAGAAGTAGTCTGCAGTACTGCACTCTAACCACTGTGCCACCGTGGCTCATCCAATGCTAATGGCAAGAAGGAAGTCGCCATTTTGGCAGAATTGGTAAAAAGGACTGGGAAGCCCACTCCTTAATCTTATTCAGCCGAATATTCAGTCTTTGAGCAGGCTCATGAAGGAAAACAAGCCGATTCAAGTCAAGTATTATTGGAGATGGAAGAAAACCAGTTTCCCATTCCAGTATATGAAAGAAGTGAATATATATGCAACCTATGCATGTGAATGGATGTACATACAGCAGAAATTCAAGATGGCAGCTACAATGGTGCAACTGAAGCTCTGCTTGTTTCTATCTATGTTGGGCATGCAAACCTCCAATAATGCCATAAAAGCTCCACCTTGCCTCTTTTGACCCTACTTTTACAAAAAGTATGATCTTATAACAAATAATGATCAGGAATTTAAAAAAAACTATGATTCCTGGATTAGAAACAGTTTTTATGAGACATTCGCTTGGCTTTGTACAAAGTCTGTGCTTTTCAAATTCAGATGAAACAAGATGAGAGCCCATAAAAGTAGAACATATTCTATAATTCCTTTGTCTGTAGAGTTCAGTGTTACATGTGAATCTGATATTTAAACACATACTGTTTTGACAGGAATTCAGGCATATTTTGAGGGATTTGGAATGCGGGAGTGGAGATTTTCACATTTCAGTGGTTTTGTCTGTAGAGCATTTTCAGTTCTATTAGAAGAAATGGTGTAACTCTGATTCTTATTAAAACAGGAATGCGAAGAACAGCATGAAACAGATCGTAGGAAGTGGCTGGCAGAAAAGACGCACCTTATAACTCAGGCGAAAGTAGCGGAAACTCTCCGTAACAAGGAGATGAAAAAATTTGCTGGAAATAAAGACTCTTATGCCAAGCAACTCAAAGAAGCAGTACGTTATCCCTACCCCGCTCCCGTTTTTCTTTGTATCTGTGAAAAAAAATCCAAGAGAAACATTTGTGAATGAATGTGCCTTACTATTAAGTGTATAATATCCAAAAAGTACATGTGTAGGTAGACAAATTATGTAAGAACACACACACACACACACACACACACACACACACAATATGCTGCAGCTTTAAAACTAGAAACTCCTTCAACCGCAATACAAGGAGTTCTCAACTTTTGACCACAATTGACCCTTGTCCAAAGTTAAAGCTGTTGCAGTGGCCCCTATGGACATGTGATCAAAATTCAGGCCTTACGATCCCTCCTTACGACTGGCTGCAAGGACATTGCAACTGCTCCCACTCTCTCCTCACCATCTCAGGTGCCCAGCTGGCTCACCAACTACAAACTGGGTCCTGGAGGCCTCACCCCACCCTCCATCCTTACCCCATTACTTTTTGTAATGTTGTTCTGCAGGTGTTTACGTGCACGCCCAGCTGATGGGAGGCATGGTTTTCCTACCAAAGCTGCATTGAGCCATCCTGCAAGCGAGTGCCATTCTTGCGGTCGTTCAGAAGGTTCTTTCTCCAAATCATGCCAGGGCGGCCACCCCCATCCCCTGAAGCATGCTCTGCTTAATGACCCACTCAATCACACAATAGCCACAATTGGAAGTGCTGGGATTGCAGTCGTTGAGTGAAACAGTCACGTGGTGCCTTGATTTATGACTGCAAACAACTTGCAATCAACATTCCAGGCTCAGAAGTCATACAACACTTTTTTAGGTTTACTGTTTTGGTTATGTTTTGGGATGCAAACTAAAATGTTGGTTTTGACCTATATGTCTTTTATCGCGATGCTTGTTGGCACCAAAGTACTTATATATAAGATAGCCTTTCTTTGCTTTGCTTTGGGCCTCTCAATTCATCCTCCACTTATTCAATATGGGTCTTTTTTAATGGTTCTCCAAATAAGGAAGGTGAAAAAGGTTAGGATTTTGAGCAATGCTTTCTGAAGTAATCTCCGGGTTTTTCAACCTCTTCCTTTCTATATTAGATTTAGCACACACTAGCACTCTCATTGTTGGCCAAGTTGGCCCTAGGACATGATAAAAAATGTCAAGATGGCGGGCACAATAGTATGTAGCAATTAAAAAACAGTCAAAGCTTTGATTGCATTGCCAGAACTACTATCCTATTTTTTTTGACCATATCTATGGACACACCCGCCTCATTTGTTGGCCTTCCGGAGTTAAAAACAGATTTGCTCCCAAGGGCCATTGGGAAATGGTCACCTTTATATTTATCACTTTGTATCTCATGGTTGTTTCTGTTTTTAATTGGCTTTTATATTTTACTTTATTTTTACATTTTTAAGCTATGAAGAATCATTCATACTAAACACAACAAACACATCAGTCATCGTCATCATCAATCTCTTGTCTTCTCTCCAGGAAAAACGTGCGGCAGAAAAAGACAATGAGCTTCAAAGATGGCGAGTAGAAAGAGACCAATTGGTGGCAGCTCTGGAAGTTCAGCTGAGTTCTCTAATCTCAAGTAATGTACAGAAAGATAAAGAAATGGAAGAACTGAAAAAGATGGTACCGCAATCTTCTGGGAAGGTTTGTATAGTATTGTTACTCCTTCACAAGTCTCTTTTCTCCATTATTCTCAATTTGCCTACCATAGGAGCACAGGTGGGGTTTTAAAAAAAGAGAAGACGATGGCCATGGCAAGGTAATCAAAGGCCTGTTGGTATTGATTTCCTTGCTGTGGTGACCATCTGGCATTTTTGACATCTATGCTCCACGAACACTCATGTCTGCCTATCACTGCTTCACAACATTGATTAATTGATGTGTACACCACCTGACTTCCATCGACAGCCCATAAGAAAACAGAATTATAAAAGAATGAAGGAATGTAGCAATAAAAGAAGATAACCTAGAAAGCAGAGATGATAAAACTGGGCAGCAACAAATCACATATCTATTTCTTGCAAGTAGCAATAGCAATAGCACTTAGAGAGCAATACCACTTTATAGTGCTTTACAGCCCTCTCTCAGCAGTTTATGGAGTCAGCTTATTGCCCCAACAATTTGGGTCCTCATTTTACCCACCTTGGAAGGATGGAAGGCTGAGTCAACCTTGAGCCTGGTGGGATTCTATCTGCCAAATTGCCGTAGGAGTAGCTTGCAGTACTGCACTCTAACCACTCTAACCACCGAGGCTCCCTCCCCTAAGTAGCTACACTCATCCTAATCAAGGGCCTGGTTGAAGAGCCAGGTCTTCAAGGCCCTCCAAAACGCCAGTAGGATGGGAACCACCCAGGTTTTGGGGGGGATGATGGGGGTGGTGGAAACCTCATTCCAGAGGGGATATCTGATGGAAGCCTTTGGGGGAGTTTTTGAGGGCCTAGAGAACAACTTTACCTTCACAAGGAAACTTCTGGAGACAATGCACTCATTATTTGTCAGGAAAATAGACCTACTACTTCAACTAACGTGATACTAGGAAATGTCTGCTTTATGCAGAGATGAGTATAGCCTACATGGTTGCACAACTAAGAAGAACTGCTTTCAATCACACTTGCATTGTGTGGCTCTCTGGGGAAGAATTTCTTGGGAATGGCCATGAGAGAAATTCCCAGTTACATCTGGGTGGCCACTAGGGAACAAATGCTGAAGTACTGTTAGTAGGTGGGTTGAGCAAGAGGGATTTTTGTTCTAATCCAGCCCTCACGGCTAGTGTTTCTGTAGTCGCTTTTCAGAAATTATCAGTGGCTACACAAAGCCCTGTAAGTTACATAACTAAGCACTGCATTCTCCACAATCTTTGGCTGCAGGCCTGGCTCTTGATATTTAAAGATGCTGATTGAAAGTTCACAAGAATCTAGTTGACAAGAATCTCTTTGGAGGTGCAAAATCACCACCAGTCTTTATCTCTTCTGTCTCCAATTTCTAAGTGCTGCATAGGCTGGTTTGCAACTGTCAGGTCATTGCCACAACCAATAATAATGACAAACATGAATTTATTCTGATACAGTCAATCCTTGATTTACAACCATTTGCTTAACAACGGTTCAAATTAATGGGACTCTTGGGATGGATGCTTTATGATGTATAAAACACTGCCAAGTGTTGCAAAACATTGCCTACACCCCTTGGTCACATGTTCGAGATCTGGATGCTTGGCAACCATTTTATACTTACAGTGGGTTGCTAAGTGCCCTATATCAGTGGCCGCCAACTGGTGGTCTGCGAAAAAAAATTGGGTGGTCTGCAGAGAAATGTCACCCTCAGAGCACCTCCCAAAGCAATTAATCCAGGTTGCGCAGGAACACAAGGCTGCGCCGCCCACATGGCCCGCAGGAACCCTCCCTGCTCTCAAGGCCCACAGGGGTGCTTAGATCTGGCCCGCAAGGCCGCCCTGGAAACAGCAAAGAACCAGCCTGCGGTTCCTCTGCCAGCAAAAACGGAGCCATTTTTGGCCACAACGGCCTCCTGCAGCCCTCAGCCAGCAAAAGCAGGACCCATTTTTTATGGCAGAGGACTAGTAAAACAAACTAAAAACAAAACAAAAGGAGAAATGTTTCCCCTTTTGCATTTGAACATGAAAGAAGGAACAGGAAAGGAGAAAGAGAAAAGAAAAAGAAAAAGAAGGAAAGATGGGAAGAGAGCAAGGAAGGAAAAATAAGGAGAGAGAGAAAGGAAGAAAAAAGGAGAGTGAAGAGGGAAGGATAAAGAATGGAAGGAAGGAAGGAAGGAAGATTATAATGAAAGTGAGGGAGGGTCTGAGGGAAGTTTTGCCTTAGTCCTTGGCCACCACAGGGCCCCCTGGCATGAGTGATGTTGAGCTGACCACGCCTACCCCAGCCATACTCCCCCACCCCCCCAATCAAACACAACCCTGATGCGGTCCTCAATGAAATAGAGTTGGACATCCCTGATTTATAGCCTTCATGCTGTGGAAAGAAATTGACCCCATCCTCCTGGGCAACCTGTGAGACCATTAAAACCTCCCTCTTTCAATTTGCCTTTGACCTGGAATTATAACGAGTACCAATTACATTAATTAGTATCTTTTTTTTAAAGAGCCAATCTGGGTCGGTCCCCGGGACTTCAGATGTAGTCTTCTGAACTTTTGGACTCGTGCTAGAAACCATCTTCGGGGAACTAGCGGAGTGTGTGCTTCGTATCTTTTTTTTTTTTTTTAGTTTTAAATTTTATTTGCGGTCTTATTCTGCTTCGTTCTGCACTATTCAGAATCTCCACTGATTGGGATGGTTTACTAATATTGCAAATAACCAAATAGGCTTATTATATTTAAAAGAAATGTTGGGAGAGAATGAGGAACGGTCGTCATGTATACCTGAAGATGTGATTCTGCCCGTGGGCCTGGGGAACCCAGACTGGGATGGAGCCTATTAAATGGCTAGTATGAATGTGTGTTGTCACCGGGGTGGGGATATAGGGGGTTATTATTTTTCTTTTTTTATTATATTTATTTTTCTTTCTTTTATATTGTGCTTTTATGTCCTTGCAGGCTGCCTTGAGTCTCCATGTGCGAGTATGCGGCAATATACAATTTTCTAATTAAATACCATCTTAAATTTCCAAAGGAAAACCAGGCTACAGATTCAGTGAATAAAGAATATGTTTAAATTAAATACTATTGAACAGAAAGTGCACTGAAATCCCCATATTGATCCACGCTTCGCTGCGTTTTAAATTGTCTTCTTATTGATCCTGTCTGAATCTATTTAGCTAAATATACGATGTCTTTTTTTCCCCCTGTAAAGGAGCACAAAACTATCGCTGAAGGATTGCGAGATGATGATTCCAAGAAACTAACGGAGATTGGATCTGAGAATATTGCCTCTGCAGGGTCGAATGGAGCCGAAAAAACTCAGGTGGAAGAATCCAGTGACTCTAATCAGGTGCAGATAATGGTAGTTGACAATTTGTGTCTTTTTAGCCCAGGCAGATTTATCCTTAGGTAAAGGAGTGGTGTGTTTCTCTTCCATTTTGAAGGAGAAGGTCTTAGGATAAACCAAAGTGTGCGGGCGGGAGTGCAGCTGCCATAATACTACCATGGAAATCCCCAAAGTGCTTTTTTCAGGAGGCAACTGGACTTTCTTGTTTTTTCTTTTGAAGATGTGTCGCTTCTCCATCCAAGAAGCTTCTTTAGCTCTGACAGGATAATGGGGAATGAAAGGATTTATATTCCTTTGCAGACAGCTGGTCATTTGCATCCTTTTAGAGGGTCGTTGAAGGATGCAAATGACCATCTGTCTGCAAGGAATATAAATATTTCCATTCCATTCCTCACTGTCCTGTCAGAGCTGAAGAAGATTCTTGGATGGAGAAGCGACACATCTTCAAAAGAAAAAACAAGAAAGTCCAGTTACCTCCTGAAAAAGCACCTTTGGGACAGCCAGGACCTGGATGACAGAATCTCTACAGACTCCCATGGAAGGTTTTGTGCATGCAGATTTACTATCATTGTGGGTCCCAGATAGGAACGGGGCAGTTTTGCCTTTGTTTCCATTATATCCCAAAGTTCTCCATTCCTTTAAGAGCAGCTCTGGTTTGGTATGCTGTATAGGTATACAACCACAGTGGAGCCCAAAATTTATGTTACTAAGTGAGAAATTTGTTTTGCACCATTTTACGACTTTTCTCGGCACGTTTGTTAAGCTGTCACTGCAGTTATTAAATTAGTAAATACAGTTGTTAAGAAAATCTGGCATCCCCATTGGCTTTGGTTGTCAGAAGGTGGCCGAAGGAGATCGCGTGATGCTGGGACACTGCAACTGTCATAAATGTGAGTCAGTTGTCATCATCCAAATGTAAATCACGTGACCATGTGGATTCTGCAACAGTCATAAGTGCAAAAAAGGGGTCGTAAGTCTCTTTTTTCAAGTGCCGTTGTGACTTTGAACGATCACTAAGCAAACTATTGTAAGTAGAGGACTATCTCCATTGAAGCTAACAGCAATTTTCTCCCATCCCACTCAAGACTGTTGACCAGTTCTGTTGCCTCTGCACAACCTGTGGCCCTTTCCAAGTGTTAATATCTATGTCAGGGCTCCAACAGATCCCCCTCATTCAAAGCAAAAGTCTCTAGCTGCATCTCAGAAAAAGTAAATTGGTTTAATAGAAATCGCCATGTTGGTGCGTGGCTGGGTGCAGCCGATACTAAATTATATCATATATTTCCCCCTTGACCCTAGTCTTTCCCCCACCCCCTGGATGTGACTTCTCCAATAGGACACATCCGTCTCCAGGAGTCATTCATCATGCTCTCCAATAACCTTCTTATGCTCCAACAACTTTAGACTGCTGAATTGATATCTAGGCATTTCAAGAATGTGTTGTTTTCCCACACTCCCTTTTTCTGGCAGCTAAAAAGACCAAAGGAATATTGTTTTAGCTGACAATCTATTAGCTTTGTTGGCTGAGGAACTCTGGGAGTTGCAATCCACAAGTCTTAAAAGTCGCCAAGTATTAGGGTATGAGTCTAGTTATAGCAGCTCAATTGTTTTCTGTAATGTAACATTCTGTAATGTTAACATTTTCCAGTGGATACCTAACGTGAAACATCTCTTGTCCCATCTAATCTGCCTCCAGCAGCATGCCCTATCTTCCTGTGATAAGAATGATCCCAGGCCAGGATCACAGAGGAGGCGGGACCCTGGTTTTGCTGACAGATGCCCATCATCGGCTTCAAGTCAGCAAGAAACAGTCATCTCTGACCATGCTGCAAGACTTAGGATTGTAAGTTAAAAAACATCCCGTCGGTCAAAATCAAAGCAGCTAAGCAAAACCCAACAGCTGAACCCAACAGACCCAGGTTGTCTGGCAATTTGTCCTGGAGAATAAATAAAGCTGGATCAGAGTTCAGGACCCAACACCAGTTGTATGTGCATGCACTGTCGGAATCGCAGCCCAACTTGCAAAGGTCCCTCTATAGATAGGAAGCTCACAGAACATCTCTGTGGATTGTATTTATGCATAATAAGAAAGGGGAAGCAAACCCATAATTAGCTTTCCTGAAGAGCCTAACCCCATAAACAGTGTTTTTTTTTCCTCCCCCAGTGGTGATCCAGTAATCAATTCATAGCCATTGGAAGAGCGAGAAACTAAGATCCTTAGAACAATGGCCCCCAAATTTTGGGCACGGGGCCCGGTTCCGGGGAGCGAGGTTTTTTCCACGGACTGAAGAGGGCATGCTTTTGCACATTCCATGAATCCCACGGATGGGGTTTTGTTTGTCTGTGCAGTCCGGTTTCTGGCATGCCATGGCCCAGTGCCACGGTTGGAGACCCTGAGGAGATTAAAACCGGAACCTGATTGTTCTATTTTCCTTATCCTGCAGCAGACTTTTTTTCTTTTTGTTTCATAAAGCTTTTCCAAAAAATGTGTAATGCACAAAAAGAGAAGAGTTGTTATTAATTTCACACAGAACTTATTGGCAGGAAGGCAAATCAGGAGGCAATCTAACGGTTGCAAATATCAAGATTTTTTTTTTTCCTGTCTTCCAGAAACTAACTTATTTCTGAAATGGGCAAAATAAATCTTTGTTGAGGATTGAACCCTCACATATGTATAATACAGAATATTGATCTCGTACTATTTGTATTCTGATCTGGCACGAGTTATTAGTTAAAGTGAGCTAAGCATGCCAGAGCCTACTCACTTAAAAATCTAACATTGGAGTAGTTTCTTTAAATTGAAAAAGGATTCTAGTCTGGTTAACTTTCAACTATGTTTAGTTTGGAAGAGAAGGATTAGAAGGATTAAATCAGCACAACAGTTCTTTCTATTAGGATCTTTAGCACTTGTTCTTCGCCTGTTAAATTGGTTAAATTCCTGAATGAAAGACTATTAGTGGTAGGTTAGTGTTGTTAAAAGAAATGTATGTGTGAGAGAAAAACAATGGCCACCATTTTTATTTTTTTTTTGCTTTGAAGGCCTCAATTTACTCCAGCAATCAACTAAGGGGAGTCACATAATGTAACTAAAAGAGTGTAGCTGGATTCATTTGTTACTTTTACCTTTAGTAGGAGATTTGTGGAGAGGAGAAGACAGAAAGTAAATAGTTTTGGAGGCAAACTGCTCACACTTTTTATCTCTTCCAGTGGCTCAGAATTGTGTTGCCACATTTGAGCATCACAGTGGCCAAATGTTGGCCCTGCAATTTTGGGGGGGTTGTTTGGGGAAGAATAAGAGTAGAAATGGAAGCGTTGTCTTCCAGAAGTCTCCAATCCTTATCCCACCCAAGACAAAAATAATATTACCCCCAAATGGCTTATATTTTGCTGAATGTGGCTGGCACAATACTGGAAGTCACATGTAGTTAGCAACCATCTGTTATTGGTTCCTTATGCAGACTATTTTTGTAGTTATTAAAAGAAAGTGGTTACTTTCTATACAGCAAACTTCAAGTCTCTGTAAAACATTTTTTTTAAAAAAATTGTTTAATTCCAGATAGCCTGACACATTCAGGTGCCATTTTCTCAATCAAATACAGCCCATAATTCTACAAAGCAGCATATATTATTAATATGATTGACAAAACAAGGCACTTGGAGTAGGAGATAAAGTTGCAATTAAGTGCTGTTCTATTAGGAAGATATTTCACTATGTGGTCACCACTATGATAGAAATCAGGTTCCTCATCTTGTCCTCTTACACCACTGGTGGCAACACAATCATGTGTCTTTCTGAACAATGCAGGTCTTAAAACCCCATCAAATTCTTTCTTCCACAGCTTAAAGAAAAACAAACTAACTTATCAAATTGCAACACTACTGTAAATGGCTCATCACTGCAACAGTCCAGCAAGGTATCTTCAGGAGATAATATTCAGGTAAGCCTCCATCTTGTTTAGTGTACTGGTTAGGGCATCAGGCTAGAAACTAGGAGATTGTGAGTTTGTCCTGCTTTAGGAAAAAAACCAGCTGGCTAACCTTAGCCAATCATTCAGTTTGGGTCGCCACGATGTAAAAAAGATGTTGAGACTCTAGAAAGAGTGCAGAGAACAGTAACAAAGATGATTAGGGGACTGGAGGCTAAAACATATGAAGAACGGTTGCAGGAACTGGCTATGTCTAGTCTAATAAAAAGAAGGACTAGGGGAGACATGATAGCAGTGTTCCAATATCTCAGGGATTGCCACAGAGAAGAGCGAGTCAAGCTATTCTCCAAAGCACCAGAAGGCAGGACAAGAAGTAATGAATGGAAACTAATCAAGGAGAGAAGCAACTTAGAACTAAGGAGAAATTTCCTGACAGTTAGAACAATTGATCAATGGAACAACTTGTTTCCAGAAGTTGTGAATGCTCCAACACTGGAAGTTTTTGAAAAGATGTTGGATAACCATTTGTCTGAAGTGATGTAGGGTTTCCTGCCTAAGCAGGGGTTTGGACTAGAAGACCTCCAAGGTCCCTTCCAACTCTGTTATTCTATTCTATTCTATTCTATTCTATTCTATTCTATTCTGCTTCTTGGTATTGGATTTTGCTTCACTGAAAGATGTTTAGTTTTCAGCTGAAACTGATCATCTGGGAGTAAATCACTTTAGGTTTATTGATGCATTTCTATACTGCTTTTCAACGTTCTGTCCTCCAATAAAACTACTTCACTGAGTTCTCCTTTGACAGGACAAGTTTTTGATATCACATTATAAGACCTACTGCAAAGATTTGAACATAGTGTGCGCAACGGAGTCACTTTTTCTTAGAGATTTCTGTTCAATTTCTCACCTTAGGAAATTGTTTGTTTTCCTCCTCATTTTAAGGGCAAAGCAAATAGTATTTTCCCCTGCTTTGTATTTATGTCATATTATTGTACTTGTAGGACCAACCGGATACTGTCTTAGATTCTTATGAGGGTGATCAAATTAGCCGCTTTCCAAAACCTGAATTGGAAATTCAGTTTTCACCTTTGCAGCCCACTAAGCTGGAAGTAAAGCATCAAGGAAGTCCTTCCACAGTGACTCTTAAGGTCCCAAGGACAAGGAAAAGGAAGAGCTGCACTATGGATGAGGTACGAAGTTTGGAAGAAAGCAACTATTCTTAGTGTGTTTTTTATATACACGTCTCAAAATAGTACTTCTGAAAGAAATCTAAAAAGTTGATGATTAAATCAGCAAAGGATGTAATCCCAAACCAAAGAATAAGTCCCATTGGATACAGTAGGACATGCTTCCTTATAAGCGTACAATTATACATGGTTTCTTAAAGATGTGTGGCTGGCTTTTTAAAAAAGGAATTGGATGAATCTGGTTCTATCTTTATAATCTAGGCCAGTGTTTCTCAACTTCGGCAACTTTAAGTCATGTGGACTTCAACTCCCAGAATTCCCCAGCTAACATGAGAAATTCTAGGAGTTGCGGTCCACACGTCTTAAAGTTACCAATGCTGATTTAGGGAGGCAATTGCTTTGATGCTAAAATAAGGGTACATCTGGCTTTAATTGTCACCAAGAAAATAATAGGAATGTGTCCATGAAGCCAGAAGGGCTCAAGACAGAAGACTTTTTTTAACAACCTGCACTGATATTTATATAAGTAGTAGTCGTTTTGTTCAATTTATATGGGGGGGGGGGTTAGGCTGAAAACATGGACCCAATTTATTACAAGTCTCTTGTTTTTTTACTACTGTGTTCTTCATGGCTAGCTGATAACCGCCCCTGAAGTTAAGCTAGAAATGGAATGCCATAATGTGAGCTGCAGATGTAACTCTAGTTTTCTAGGCATCTGTATATGACTAAATCTTTGGGGAGAAACACAGGCCTGTACATCAAGCATATCTCTTTTGCCCCCCACTCCCCCCACAAAACCTAGAAAATTCCACTTCAGGGAATCTGAATGTGCAGCTAAGATCTGACCTTGATCAGTGTCCTCAAACATTAACATCATTTTTAACCATCAATACTATTTTCTTTTCAAAAGTCACATTTCTAAAAGGGACTGTTTAACCTCAGGTTTGAAATTGTATACGAATACTAAGGGGTGACTGCATGAAAAAATAACTTTGTCTTCTCAACTATGCTTCCTTTAAGAGTAATATGCTGCCAAGTTTCTGGAAAAACAAACTTAGAAATAAGGGAATTTCTGATGTGAGTCAGGTACATAATCTCTTTAAGCTTATGTGGTAGACAAACAAGTACAAGTAGATAACAATACTTTAATTCAGGAGTCCCCAACCTCTGGGCCACGGCCCACTACGAGGCCACGGCCTATTTGGAACTGGGCCACATGAACAGCGGGCCAGCACGCATGCGTACAGCTCAGCTTGTGTGAGTGGTGGGTTGTGCATATAAGTCAAGCTGTGTGTATGCGCGTGTGCGCCACCCTACCGCTCACATGGGCCGGTCTCCCGCCTCACTCCCCCAAGCCAAGCCACAGAGGTTGGGGATTGTTGCTTTAATCCTTCTTCACATTTCACCCAAATAGCACATTCATATTATAACAATGATCACAGATGATCTTTCCTCTACTATTTCTTAACCATCTCTTGCAATCAAACCTGTTTTTCCAATATACAGTAAAACTTCAATTTAATGGATCATTTTGAGGAGAAAAAGGTATCCATTAGGCTAAATACCTATTATATTTGTATTTTTGTATTAAATCTAAGTCATGTCATTTTATGCCAACTTAGAGCATTTGCTTAAATGCATAAGTGGAAATAGGCACAAATAACGTATTTTTATAAATGATCTGTACTATTTTGGAAACCATGTTCATTGTTTAAGGGTAAAATTTTAAGCAAAATTTTGTTCACAGTATATCAAGTTGTCCCCTGAATTAGAATCTGTCAATTGAGGTTTTACTGTATCTGTCTTTTGATCAGAATCGTTGCTAACTCACTGAAATCTGCCATTATTTATTCCTATCCATTAATAGTTTTTTGAAATGGTAATCTTAATCTTGTGGATTTGAAAATAAATTTCATTTGAACAGGTTTTATTTTGCTGCTTTAATATAATAATAAAAAGAAGAAAAACCAAAATTTTATGTATGCAAATAACACACAAGATACAGAGAAATTGAGAGAAAATGTTAATAAAATAAAAGATAATCACAACAATAATATCTCAATTAATTAGTAGTTTTTGAACAGTGAATTGACCTTCACCACATATAATTATGTCTGGTCCCCCGCTTGCAGGACTTTCTCGTTCCTTATTAGCCCCCAGCACAAAATACAAAGGCAGGTTGGTCCTAGCCAGCAGGCATTAAAAAAAAATCAACATTCTATTCTATTCTATTCTACTCTACTCTACTCTACTCTACTCTACTCTACTCTACTCTACTCTACTCTACTCTACTCCACTCCACTCCACTCCACTCCACTCCACTCCATTATATCATATCCATCCATCATCATTATCTATCTATCTATCTATCTATCTATCTATCTATCTATCTATCTATCTATCATCTAATCTAATCTAATCTAATCTATTTTTGTTAAATTTATTTGCTGCTTATCTCACCATGGGGCTACTTGCCTTCTCTTCCTCTTTCTTTTCCTTTACTCTTTCTCAGGATTTTACTTTCCTATCTTTTAGCAGCCAAACCTATATCTAGTCCAAGTTGAATAACAGTGTCTAAGAAATCCCGAGAATCTAGAAGTAGTCAGAATCATATGTCACTGAGTCTCCTGGCTATTTCTAACATTTCTGTATGTAATGTTAAGAGATGTGTTGGGGCTGAATGGCCATCATTCCAGTGAGAGAAAGGGGATAAAAGTGGAAGATAAAAAGCAACCAGGGAATTTTTTTTATCTTTTTTTTTTAACCTCATCCCCTGAAGCAGAAATAGGCTCCTCAATCGTTGTTACTTGGACCCCAGGGAGGGCCATGAAAAGCAGAGCGACTGATTTTGTTAACTTCCTATTTAGACTCTTTTTCATTCAGGAGGAATGTAATGGGCAACAAAATATTGTCCAATCCCTAAATTCAGTCTAAGTACAAACTAATGCTTGCACAATAATTGCGAGTATCCGCTTTTGCTAAAGAAGTGCCTGTATATATTAGATCAAAATCCTACCACTCTGATATACACTTAGTGAAAATCCTCAGCACTCAGAATCCAGATGGTATCCAGTGAGAATTTGCTGAAAGTTCTCCCAGAGACCTGTGATTGATCCTGAGTCCTTCATTCTAAAATTGGAACGGTGTCCAATTTAATATAACGCAGAAGCCAATTTAATACAAAGCAAAACTTTTCTTGTTGCAAAAAAAAAAACCATTTATAAAGTAGATCAAATGGCAGAACAGTTTAGCTTAATTCAGAAGAATGTTTTTTTTTCTTTTTCATATTCTCAGGTTAAACAGTATGGAATTAATACAGAGCAGGACAGAATTATAGATTAGACTTAGAATTCTTTATTGCCCAAGTAAGACTAGACACATAAGGAATTTGTCTCTGGTGCATAAGCTTTCAGTATACATACAACAATAATGATAGATCATTATCATGGTTATTGTAAAAATATATTCATCATAAAACATTAGATACAACACTTAATGATAATAATGGATACTGAATAAGAATCAACATAAATCATACTAGGATACGAATTAAAGAACATAAATCATAAGATACAAGTAACAAAATTATATCATAAGATGATAAGGAGATAGTTAATAGGGAAGATGAGAACAATGGTGGTAATAATGCCTTTCTAGATAGTTTGACAGTGTTGTGGGAATTAGTTGTTTAGCAGAGTGATGGCATGGGGGGGGGGGGAACTGTCCTTGTGTCAAAAAACTATCCTCTTGTCAGCCAAAATAAAATTGACAGTATTTCTCTTCCTTTGCTGAAATTCCTAGAGGTAATAACATCTAGAAAAAAATCACAGATTGCTTTGTCCCTGATGGAATAATTCGTGATTATTGGAAAATTGCTTTGAATTTAATCTGAATTTAAGATTAACCATAGCAAATATGTAATAAGAAGTAAATGCCTTCCCATGAGATATCATAAGAGTTTGGCTTTTAAAAAAATGTTATTTTTTTAAAATGTCTGTGATGCTCCATCCAATGTGTGAAAAGATTGGCAGTCTTGGATAAAGCTGTCCCATTTCCCTCTAAAAAAAATGTATCAATCTAACATTAAGACTGTAGCTTAGTACTAAACACACCTTTCTCTTTCTAAGGACTCCTTGAAAAATGAAAATGAAAAGAATATAAAATTGCCAGCTAATATGAATGTGTGGTCTGATTCATTAACGAGACAAGGAAAAAAGGTATGTGAGTTAATAACATTAATATAATGCTTCAGCAGTAGTTTGACCTGGAATAGCTTTATGTTGATGATATAATAATTTAATTATTAGATTGCATACATTCCTGATTTGAACGATTATGTAAAGCACATGTTTTGTTATATTGCAGATAAAAAGGAGATAAATTGTCAAGGAGACTAGCTTGCTTCAGGCCAGAGTAATGGGCTCTTCCTTTTTCTTCTAGCAACCAATTATCTTTTTCTCCTCACCAAAGTACACATGCAATATACTTGAAAATACTTTTTATTAAGCTATTAACAGCCAATCTTCATTATCTAAGGGCTGTCAAACTTCCGGTGGTGGGTCGGATATGTCATGCGCTGGCCACGCCCACACCCAGTTAGTGAAGGGGGGAAAAGTCCTGATATGTCTTGTGACACTGCCGTGACAATGTGAGTTTGATACCCCTGATCCCTTTAGCCTACTTAAATGGTCAGCCTATTTCAACTTTTATGACCTTCAGATGTCTGGCTTTCTGGGAATTCTCTCACCAGCAAAGCCCTTGCTGAGAATTCTGGGTCACGAAATCCAGACATCTGGAGACTTGTTCAGATTGGTAGAAAGCTGGTATAACTGCAGCCGCTGGAAAACATCTAGGCAACATAGTGCTGCTAAGGAACGAGAAAAGAACTGCACAAGTGAACTCCAATTCTTTAGAGAAGAGATGTATAAGATATTGGAAATATGTGTGAGAACTAAATTCAATATCTAATGTTCAAACATGGTAATAAACTGGTGCAGGTATACTTTTTATATAAGACAATATGATTTAGCAAATGTCTTTAGTTCCTAAATGAAATGTTTTAAACATATGTTTTAATGTTTTCTATTGCTTTAGATTGCTCCTCCTAACCCCACTCTCAGAAAGAATTATTCCTTAAGAAATAAATATTCATCAAATATACAATCCATGGCATCCCCAGGTGGAACCCTATACAAATTTGGTAATCTCTTGCAGAATTCCCCTACAATCATACAAACTAAAGGTGAGCAGCCAAACAAAGAAGCCCATTCCATTAATTTGAGGCAATTAGGAGATATTTGTGTTGTTCCATCTGGAACACTGCGTATTTTAAAACGGACAGTTGGTATTTAAACTACCCAGCAGAAGAAATCCATTTTGGGCATCACTTTTTGTGTTCTTGAGCATAAGAAAGGCAAAATATGCAGTTGGCTGAGAGTGAACCAGTAATGCTCAACATAAAACTGTGAGGGGCAGCGTATACATACCATATATTGGCAATTTTTTTCTCTCTCTCTTCCTCTCGCTCTCGCTCTTTCCTTCTCCCTCCCTCCCTCCCTCCCACCCTCCCTCCCTCTCTCCCTTGGCTGGGGAATTCTGGGAGGAGAAATCCACCTGTCATAAAGTTGCCAAGGTTGAAAAACACGGTTCCAAAACATTGCTTTCAAGATTTTCCTCTTTGTTGAATAGATTTCAGTTGTATGTAACATGGCTTTCAAAGACGACTTCCAGGAGAAGAAAGGAAGGGATTTAATTGAGAAAGACTGGTCTTTAAACATTTCGATTCACCAATGGTCTAAATCGGAGTCTCTCAGAGAACTCCCTGTACTTCTTAGGCAATGCCAGAGTTTCACAGAATGCAATTTGAAAAACCCTGGTCTAAATAGGAATAGAGCAAATACTAAGATAGAATTGCACTTTTCTGAATAAAAGAACGTTTGCTACTATTCCCTTTCCAGCAAAGAAGCTGATGGCAACAATGAAATCTCCCAAATCTACTGATGAAGAAGCTGTTAAGAAAAATGATGACAAACCCAAGAAAGCTAAGCGGAAGCTCCACTCAACCAACATTTCTGCTCCCGTTGAATTTTCTGGTCCCGCAGTAAGATTCCACAAAGCATTTTGACCAACTCAAGAGTGTACAACCTTTTGAAAGCTGGGAACTATACCTAATTTTTTGGGGTGGGGGGGGTGGCGGGAAAGGGAAACAGATGTTATTAAAAAAACAGATGTTTTTTAAAAAGCCCATGATGCTCAGAAGAAATAAGGTTAGATCAAAGATAGGGGCAGTGGCGTGATTTTTCTATGTTTTTGTTTGGCAAGAGGGATGTTTTTGTTTGGTAAGGGGGATAAGCTTTAGGGTTCTGTACTACCAGGTAGTCCTCAGCTTACAACCACAATTGAGCTCCAAATGTCTGCTGCTAAGCTGAGACAGTTGTTAAGTGAGTTTTGCCCCATTTTACAACCTAGTTGTGAAGTGAATCACTGCATTTATTAAGATAGTAGAATAGAATAGAATTCTTTATTGGCCAAGTGTGGTTGGACACACAAGGAATTTGTCTTGGTGCAAATGCTCTCAGTGTACATAAAAGAAAAGATACATTCATCAAGAGTCAAGAATCATCAGGTACAACACTTAATGATAGTCATAGGGAACAATAAGCAATCAAATCATACTAGGAAACAGTCAATATAAATTGTAAGGATACAAGCGACAAAGTTACAGTCATACAGTCACAAGTGGGAGGGGATGGGTGATAAGTAATGATGAGAAGATTAACAGTAATAGTAATGCAGACTTTGTAAATAGTTGGACAGTTTTGAGGGAATTATTTGTTTAGCAGAATGATGGCCTTTAGGGAAAAAAACGTCCTTGTGTCTGGTTGTTCTGGTGTGCAGTGCTCTATAGCGTCATTTTGAGGGAAGGGTTGTTTAGTGAATCTGGCTTTCCCATCGATTTTACTCGCCAGAAGCTTGCAAAAGGGGATCACTTGAATCTGGAACACTGCAACCGTCACAAATATGAATCAGTTGCCAAGCATCTGAATTTTGATCTCATAACCATGGGGATGCTTGAAAACAGTTGTAAGTGTGAAAAATGGTTGTAAGTCACTTTTTTCAGGGCAGTTGTAACTTTTGAATGATCACTAAACAAACCGCCATAAGTCGAGAACTACCTTTCTTTAAAAGAAAGGCAGAGAAATTGGGTAGACATTATAGAATGTGATACTGGTATATTGTATAGAGAGACGACGTAGATTTCGGACTCCCCCCTCCCCCCCCCCAATTATTATTTGACATTATCTGCCATCTTCTAGGAATATAACTGAAACAGATGCATTTCCTATTGCATTCTGTGCCTGTTCTCCTTAACTCTCCGTCTTTAGTTTTATTTTGTATACCTCTACTTTAATTGAAGTCTGTAGAGTCCAGTGGGTTTGTTCAAAGTAAGTGTGCATAAGGTGGGAGGCTCAATCTTTATCTTCAAGAATAGTATTTCAGCAAAATCACTATTTTCCACTTCTGTCTGGCCTTCAAAGCTGATGACCGTCATTATTTTGGCTTGAATAAGATGCATTGATTATATATTAGTTATTCAATAAGCCTTAAGCTTACTCCCTGCCCCACTTCTCAACTGCAAGATTAACACAAAATCACAACCCCCTGATATGGATCAACCAGAAATGCAGCATTGTATCCAAATTAAAAGTAAACTGCTTAATCATAAATAAAGCAGAGAAAAGCAAACGAAGTTTATTACCTGTATTTGGATTCGGCTGGTTTTTATTACCTTTAGGTGAGATTAGTGATACTTTATCTTGGTTTAGAAGCTGTATTGATTCCAGTATCCCGATATGTCTTGTAGTTGTGGTGGAGGAGGTCACATACATTTCTGCTTTGTTCAAGGTACAAATAGAACAGATAATAATCACTTAATTAAACCACTCATTAATGTTTCATGGCAATTCAGTTATCTCAATCTTTCAATATGTTTTTTTGAAACAAAGTCCTAAACTAGTTTGCATACAACGCTAAACTGTAATGATTGCATTTGCTCGTGTTAAACCATAGGTCAAGTAATTTGTTTAATGGGGGAACACCATCATACAATAATAAATAAAACTGTAAACATTAGGTAAAAATGATAAGATGGTCAGAATTTTGAGGCGTGTAATTTTTTTCCTTGTCCAAGTGGGAATCTTTTATCTTTTGGGATAATATTGAGAGTCAGCAAACATAATCTAACGATATTCTTAGTAGAAAACCTAAAATACATTATTGCTTAGTATTTGGTGCTAAAACCATTTTTTAAATTATTTTTTTCAAGGTCTGTTGTTAGTCATCTAAGAGTCATGAATTCAGATTGCTAACCGGCTTTAAGAGGTTATATTCTAAAATAGTAATGACTTTCCCACATCATTTGGCTTTTAGTTGGACAAGTACTGAACATTGGATTATTTTTTTTACTTTACATCTGAACTAGGGCAGCTCAGGATTCTGAAACCACCACCAAGCTCCCCTAAGTATAAATATATAAGATATTGTGGCCTTTGGGCACCAAAGATACTTGATCGCTGGCCTCTCTAACTTGAAAGCTCTTGAAAACTTGGGAGGTTCCACTTCTTTATTGTTCTGAGAAAGAATTTGCTCCAATTCTCACCCTTTGACCGTGTACTACCTGCGCATCTGATCACTTAGAAAACTTTTTTCATTCCTTTTTCTTTTTTTTAGATCTTTGAAGATCAAAAGGAAACCCATCATGAAATCATCAAACGACGTCTCCGAATGAAAAAATAATAATATTCTTTTCATGGATAATATGTATAGAAGTTATCAATGCTGTAACTATTACTTTTCAAAATGTCGGATTTTGTTGATATTGCTGTAAAAATGAGCGGAGGGAAATTAAAATATGTTGAAGAGTCCACGGTGGTATAATGGTTAAGGTGTTCAGGTAGAACTGGGAAGAAACAGTTGCCAAGTATCCAGATTTTGATTATGTGACCAGGGAGATGCCTCAATGATTGTAAGGGTGAAAAATGGCCACACACCACTTTTTTTTACTGCTGTAACTGTTCTGACCGAGCCTTAGCAGAAACAAGAAACAGAATCCTTGCCACGAAAACCCCTTGTTATTTACCTCTTGCATTCACCCACCAAAAAATCCAGGCAATAGTCCTTCAAAGAGTGAATGGCAGCAACAGACCTTATCAGTTCCTTGCGATAATTGCAAGGCTGTGAGCTCCCAGCCGAAAGGCTGCAAGTTAAGTTCTGGCAAGTAGTCTCTGTGGCACGAAACACATTGAGCAAAATCTTCAGCAAGAGGAACTGTTGTGTCCTATGACAACCACTCCCCTTTCCTTCTATTTATTCCCCAGCCAGGGAGAGGCCATTCCGCATCCATGTCGACTCCTTGATCTCCGTTGTTCTCCTCTCCTAACTGCTCTGAGCATATGTGCATCTGGAACAGGCCCCAGCCGTTCTTCCTCCTCACTCATATCAGCCTCCGAAGGCAGCTGCCTCTCCGGTTGCTGGGAAATGTCAGGTGGCCCTGGCTCTATCTCTGCGTCCGACCTAGAGTATCCATCAGAGCCTTCCCCAGACTCCAGAACTGGCCCAAGTTCCTCCCTAATCTCACTGTCTGATTCTGCTGCCAGTTGGCGTGCCACAACAGTAACTTCAAATGGACACTAAATGAACTTGTAAGTCAAGGACTACCTGTAATTCAACAACTCTAGGGCTGGAGTTATCTCTTTCCTCGGAGCAATTCCACGGGAAAAACTTGTGCTACCAGAAGCAGTGTGTTTTGATTCTTAACTCTTTGGTACAAGAACTGATAGTTTTAGGGAAGTGCCATTTGGAGCCATAGAAGGAAATATCCGTATCAATTTATGTTAGTGGTTGTATCTATTGCAACAAACTGTTTTATGCATCCTCAGTCTATTGCTTTAGGTATTGTACATTTTTGCTATAGTGGTGGCAGAGATTCAGGCTCCACCTTGTTAGCTTGTGATGACCCTGGGTGGGACACAATAAACACAGTCACAAAAAGCAGGTAAAGCCCCTTTTATTCCTTCACTTTGCTTTCAAGCTCCAAATATGCTTGACTGGAGATAAAAACACTCCCACACGAGCAGTTACAAGAAGGAGGAAATGCCGTTTAAACTAAAAATGCCTATAAATTATAAAGAGTAAAAAACAACACAAACCAGGCAAGATAAGGGCTTGAAGCCGTCCACAGATATCAGAACACACACTGGGAAGGACGCCAAATTCAGAGCAACAATAAACTAGAGATATTTACATGCTTTGTTTCCAGCACTCGCCCATATGCATGTCCGTCCTCTTATCCAGTTGTCACAGCTGCAGCCCATGAAGAGGATCAAGACCCACTTCTTCCCAGTAGACCACGTCTCTCCCTTATCCTCTCCTCCCTGCGTGCCCTAGGATGGAGAGGGGATGGGCCTGGGTCCTTCTCTGACTGCCCAGCCAGCCTGTGCCCTTCCCCAGCCTCCTCCACAACCTACGGAGCCACACCTCCATTTCCTGTCAGCTGTTCCTCCTCTCTCTCAGAGTCAGTCTCCACCAGGGGCATGACATAGCTTTTCTTTCGAATTCAATGCAAGAGTTCTGCCCCTTAGCACCGTGTAGTGCCAATGTTGCAAATTCTAAAATGTTGGCTTCCATTTGGGATAATTTCTATTTCAAAATTTAAAAAAATGATGAGTGCAAAAAGGCTCCGAGTGAGCAAGATGTATTTATTTTAATGACTGTACCTTTGTATAATGGCAAGGAGCGAAATTAAGCAATTTCATAGTTTTACTATACTGATCCCCCTCATGTCTATGGAGATTCTCAGTCATGATTGTCCCATAGGTGCTTTTTTTTCCAAAGGAAACTGGACTTTGTTTTTTCCTTGAAGACATATCGTTTCTCATCCAAGAAGCTTCTTCAGTCCTGATTGAATGGTGGAGAATTGTCTTCTGCAGTCATCTGGTCATTAGCACTCTTCCCCTTCATCTTCAATCAGTACAAAATATGTCTCCTGAATCTTCTGGAAGAAGCACTGAAGTACCATATTGTCCTCCATACTTTCTGGATGATGTCTGTGTGGCATCTGGGAACTACATCTTTCATTTGCACAAAGAATTTGCAAAAAATGTCAGGACATGTTCTCTGTGAGGATGGGAGCAATGATGTATATCCAAATATTCAAAGGAAAAGTCTGACATTTTGTAAAAAAAATATTTTGCCCTCACCTTTGGAAAGCTAATAATTTCTAAAGCAGCACCTGAGACATTGTGCTTTCTCTTGCTGCCCAGAGTCCTGATTCAACCAATTTTATTATTAAATTCTAATAATGATGCTAATACTCATGTGTTGATAGGAAACCAATTCTTCAGTTGCGCTTGAGTGAATATCTGCTTTGTATTTGGTCGCTGCCTTCCATAGAGCCATCTTGCATAGCATTCATAATATGTTTTCAAAATTCCAAACATGCACACTAGTCTAAAACATCGGAGATCCCTAGATCAGAGAAACCTTCCTAATATCCAAATAGGCCTTATAAAGTTATCTTTGATAGTTCATTGCAACTGGCACAACATCAATTCCATCATTTGTGTGATGTCATGATACCATACCTATGCTGTCACTTGTTCTGCTTTATTTTCTCCGACAGAGACCAGTGACAATAATATTTCAATATTCTAACAGTATAATAAATCTGGGAGGGACCTTGGAGGTCTTCTAGTCCAATCCTATATAATTTCAGACAAATGGTTATCTTCTAATTTCTCCTTAGTTATAGGTCGCTTCTCTCCTTGAATTAGTTTCCATTCTTTGCTTCTTGTCCTGCTTTTTCATCAACCAATGAGATTTGGATGTCAAGTTTGTTGCCATCCTTCCTTACCCTATACTTGCTTGCTGTTTCAATTCTGCTTATGTATACATTTTAAATAATGCATTTTGTCTTTCTAGAAAGAGGGGGATTAATCAGCATTGAATAATAGCTTGGAAAAGAATTAGTAATAGATAATTAACAGTTCCAAATTTGAGCTAGTTGGATCTATGCACCGCTAACCGTTAGAAAGTGACTGAGCTGGTAGCCCTATTTCATCCTGAGCTCTAAGTCAGGCGATTGTTCATCAAATAAGACCTGATATTTTTGTTTCTGCAATTAAATTTGCGACTGAATGGTTTTCTCTGGATCTCTATCTTGGTTTTAATTAGAAGACAAAGAAACCTCCACTAGATGGCATTTCAGCACCTTTTTAAAATTAAAAGTGAAAAGAATCCCATTCTGAAACGTTTTTTATCCTGAGAAGAGTTCAGGTTGCAGAAAGGAAGGGGAAAATGTTTATTTGGACCAAAGCACAATGTAATACAGCCAAACAGGTAAGCATTGAGGCCTTAGTCACTATCTGGCACATCTACTTTGGGTATTAAATGGTATGTGACACACTCTAAAATATTCTTCAACATAAAATATTCTGCAAATAATAATAGATGCTCAGTTTGGGGTGGTGGGATGGCAAAAAAACAACAACCCTCATGTCTAAGAACAAAAATAAGCCTTCGCCTTTGGAGGGCTATTTTATTGTTTCTTTTTAAAAGGAAGTTGCCAGTAGGGCGGGTGTATGTTTTGAGATGTATGCTGGTCATGTCTGGCTAATTTGTAAGAGGATTGGATGCCGTAAATCTAAATAGTAATGCATTAAAAGACAAATGTGTCAGCAGTGACAAATCTGCAGTGGCTGGGCTCCCCATTTCCCTCAGCCATAATGCAGTTGATTCAATTGTAGGTATAACATGTTGTGTGAGCCCGGCCACTGAGGCTAATAAACCATGGTGTTTGAAATTAGGCGGTGTCTAGCATATAAAGGATAACCAGAAGAGCCTCTGTACACAGTTGGATTCCTGGTAGAGCTGGTTTTCAAAATGATAGGGCTCTCCAGTTGGAGTGAGAGACCTTTAAAGAAAGGGGCTGGGGAAAGCAAGAAAAGAAATAATAGAAATCACCTACTTGTTTCCTCTGTTCCCATTTCCTCCTTATTCCTTTGTCACTGATATTTTAAGAAGCTTTGACGCTGTTTTAATAGAGAATGTTGAATAACTGCTTTCAAACTATTGTAGAGATTCTAAGGTGCTTAGATACTAACAAAATGTGGATCCTTATTCATAAAGCAGATAGAAATCACATTTAAGTAGAGAAAAGAAAAGTGTTTCTATTTAGAAATCTGAGGCTGTATGTGGTCAGCAGGAACTTTCTTGTGAGCTTTCTTATCTACCTTCTCTATATTCTTTCTGAGATACATACATCTTTCATACTTTATAAGAAGCTTGATGTGTAAGGAACTGTAAACATATTTACATTATATTCATTTACTGAAATACTTTCTAGAATTTGATGAAGTCTTGTTGGTTGGTTGGTTTTCAAATGTATGCAAGCAAACACAAGTTTTGTCTTTTTTTTTTTTAAAAAAAGTTTTTATCGCAGTTTTCAAAAATACAAATCTCACTTATTTTTGTAACAACATTTTGCCATCGATAATGCATACATCTTATATACATACCTACATTAACACTCTGTTAAGGTCTCTTGCTTTATTTACTATAATCCTTCCTAGTCTTTATATCTGTTTTTTAATCATACATACCATTTATCCCATATTAAATAATATTCGGAATCCTCCTTTCATTTCCAATGTGAGCTTGTCCATTTCGGTGCAATCCAATATTTTTTGTATAACTAAATCTTCTGAGGGGATATTAGCACCTTTCCCTGATAGTGCAAAAGCTGTTCTGGCTGCTGTCAAAATATACAATATAGTATATTTAGTCTTTTTAGTATATTAGTATATTGGCCTGAAATTATTCCTAGCAAAAAAAAAATCCAGTTTGAGCTCATT